GGCCAACACTCAGTTGCTGAGTAAAATGACGTGATTTATCTAATATTTGAATATTGCATTATGCAAACTCAACTAATCAATAAAGAGATTTATCTAGTGTTGTATTGCTTTTTTCATATTTGTTGACATAAGACCATAGGCTGAATTAAGGAAAACGTCTTGGGCCAGTCCAGGGGTAGGCAACCTTGGCTCTTTTATGACTCGTGGACTTCAACTCCCAGACTTCCTGAGCCAGCATGGCTCAGCTTGGAAACCTCTCCCTTTTCCCTCAGCATGGCTGGCTCAGGAATTCTGGGAGTTGAAGTCCACGAGTCATAAAAGAGCCAAGGTTGCCTACCCCTGGGCTAGTCATACTCTCTCAGCCCTAGGAAGGAGGCTGTGGCAAAGCACTTCTGACATCTTGCCAACGTATTTTCAAATGTGGCTGCCAGTTCCACAGAGTTAGCTCCCCTCACACAGGGAGGCCTTGAACCTTTAATGTTCAAGAAGTGGATCCATAAGCTATGTTCTCTTATTATTTTTTTACTCTTGAATATTTCACCACGCCCTCCTGAGAGATAAATTTTCCATTACTAGAAGTCTCAACATTATTTTTTAAAAGTGGTCAGGGGACAAGAGAGGGTGTTACCTCAAATTTTAGGCTTTTTTATTAGCATTTTAAAAGATGATATCACTTTTAACATGGCAGTCTAGGCCAGGGCTTTTCAATCTTTTCACCCATTGTACCATTTTTAGGATATGGCAATATCCGAGTACCACCAGTCACCTAACAAGGTATCAAAAATTTGATGGAAAAAAAAAAGGGAAAAAGTGATAAAGTACAGGTAGTCCTCGACTTACAACAGTTCGCTTAGTGACTGTTCGAAGTTACAATGGCACTGAAAAAAGTGCCCCCCAAGGCACAGCCAAGCAAGACACCTGCCTGCTCACCCGGCGGTGCTCTTCCTCCTGTCCGAGGTTTCCATTGTTGTGAGCATTTCTGTTGAGGATTGGCAGCGGGGGTGTGGGGGGGGTGTTTGGTTTTTCCTCTCCCCTGTCTGCTGGGTGGTTGCAGCAGGTTTTGGTCACTTCACATGATCCTGGGACACTGTGATTGTCATAAATATGAATCAGTTGCTAAGCATCTGAATGTAAATCACAAGACCCTGGAGATGCTGCAACATTCCAGCTGATCAGCGCTTCTTCTGGGCTCAGCAGAAGTGCCAGGATCAGCGCAGAGCTCCAGCTGGAGCCTGGCGCTGATCCTGGCGCTTCCACTGAGCCCTGACAGCCTTGCAGCTCCAGCCGTCTCTCGCTCAGGCTTGTGCGGTGCTGCCACTGGTTCAACTCATTCCCCTCCCCCACTACCACTTTTCTAGGATGGTCGCGTACCACCTGCCAGGTGCTAATGTACTACAGGTGATACCCGTACCACTGGTTGAAAAGCCCTGCTCTAATAGGTCAAAGCTTCTATTTCCTTCAGTCTTACTCTATGTAGCCAGTCTTTCCCCCACTGGTTTGGAGGGCTTCCGCCCACCCGATCAATAAAGGTCCCCTCCTTGCTTGCCGCCTCTGTGTGGCGACTTTTGACCCTTCTCAGAATCCACCAGCAGGGCAAAATCAAACACAAAAGTTGGAGCCCCATCTTCCTGCATCTGCCTTGCCCGAAGCCAATACCAAAAGCCCTTCCAAAAATATTTTAATCAAATTCTCTTCCCCATTCCAAGCAATACATATAAAAACAGAGAAAACATTACTTGATGATTCAAATGTACTGACTTGGATAGTTATTTGGCAAAGGAAGAAAGCTAGAGTAAGACTCAAGAAAATAGAAGTTTTGACTTACTAGATGGGATATTATACTATTAAACAGAGGTTTGAATATGTTTAAGAAAAGAGATAACTGTTAGAAATAGAAGTATTATTATAATTAGAAAGATAAGATTTGTAACTAGAATATTATATTTTGTTATGAGATGGGAAATATGAAAATTCTAAAAGGGTTTGAAAAAGCAAACCTTTTGGTTACCCAAATATAATTTATTATGAGAAAATTATAAACGATAGAAATATTTTGAACATTGATGGAAAATTAAAATATTAAAAAAAGGGAAAAACAGGATATTGACTGAACAAGTGGATTTTAAGTGAAAATACAATAGAGATATGTTTTGGCTAGAAAAGATATTATAAAGGGACACTATCAATATTATGTATAATACCAGAAAAATGTCTAAATGAAGATGTCTATATTTATTTGTATATGTATTAACAACAATAAGAACTGTATTTGCCCAGTGTGGGAAAATGTAAATCACCGGAAGAAGAGAGGACCAAGGAAGCACTGGATGGTATAGTATTGGAACTAGACTGAGAAAGTTAACATGTACCACTGAATTATTAGTGGACCCAGACAGCACGTTGTTTATTAAGTACTTATGATTGTAAAATTAGAAAACTAATAAAATATGTATTTAAAAAAGAAGAGTTGGTCCACCAGAGAGACTTTGGGAGACTGCTGGGTCACTTTGGAGGAATGAGGCCAAGGGAGAAAGCTAAAATTATTGTTGTTCTCAGGATGCTGGAGGAAAGCAGGAAAATCTTACTATAGTGAGTTGGACTTTGATTCCAAAGAACCAACACAAGAATTGCCACCGAAGTAGATTAAGGGAGAAAGCCCCCATTGTTTAAAATGTCAATGTGAAAAGTATGAAAATTTTGCCAGATTCCAACATATATTCAGTTTCTATGTTGGTTGAGACCTTTGATATATGTGGGTTCAGCAATCTCTTGTTCAATTATGCAATTAAATATTGTTTTTCCAAAACAATCTTGGAAGTCTACATCAGAGTTCAACTTCCCAAGAATCCCCTTTGTAGGTTTCAAAATGACCATTGATTATCTAAGAGATTGCCGAACTCAACATATGTTAAAAGGTTAAAAATATGGAGTTTTAACACATCGAAGGTCTAATAGTCTCCTGTGTTACTTGCACCTGTGCAATCAACCTCTCTTCATCACCCTGCCCCCAACCCAGTTTTAATCCAGGATCAGTTTAGTTTTGCATCTGATGAAGTGAGATGCAGATCCTAAAACTTATAGCTTTTAATAAAATTGTGTAAATGGGGAAACATACTACCAGTCTCCTGATATGAAACTGTTAGAAGGGTTGTATCCACTGGTTCAAAGTGAAGTGTCATTATTGTCCTGGCGATACCCAATTGCAATTTGTCCTCCTGAGCTAAACAAAGTCTTATCCTGGTATCTGGAGGCTGTTGGGGTCTGAGTTGAGTGAAACAGCTTTAACCCAAGCAAGATAGAGATGCACTTTACCTACTATCTCTTTCCAGCATTAGCTTTTCATGGGGAAGCACTGCTAATGTGCTAATCCATCACATGTGGGTCTTCCTAGTCTCACAGCTACTGCTAGATGGGCAGGTGGAAGGCATGGCCAGTAAGGCCTTTACCCAGCTTCAGGTGATGCACTAGCTGTGGCTGTACCTGCGGTGGAAGATCTCACAAGAGCAAAGTATCACATGGTACATGGATCTGCCTTTAATATCCTCTTGAAAGCTACAATAGGTGCAAACTGGAGTGGCCTCCAGACATTAGCTGTCAGAAGTAGACTATACTGGTATGGCAGGCCCTGCACCTGTTAGTCACAGCTTTTGGCTGCAATTTAAAGTTGCTTTGGTGAGCTTATGGAGATTGATGGGTGGACACTCTCAAGTTCATGGACAGCATGTTAGCATCAGCCAGCATGAACCAGCAGTGTGCTGCAGCTGCCAAAAAAGCCAACACAGTGTTGGGCTGCATTAACAGATGGATAGTATCAAGATCACGTGAAGTATTAATACCACTTTATAAGGCCTTGGTAAGACCACACTTGGAATACTGCATCCAGTTTTGGTCACCACGATGTAAAAAATATATTGAGACTCTAGAAAGAGTACAGAGAAGAGCAACAAAGATGATTAGAGGTCTGGAGGCTAAAACATATAAGGAACGGTTGCTGGAATTGGGTATGTCTAGTTTAATGAAGAGAAGGACGAGGGGGGACATGATAGCAGTGTTCCAATATCTCAGGGGCTGCCACAAAGAAGAGGGAGTCAAGGTATTCTCCAAAGCGCCTGAAGGCAGGACAAGAAGCAATCGATGGAAACTAATCAAGGAGAGAAGCAACCTAGAACTAAGGAGAAACTTCCTGACAGTTAGAACAATTAACCAGTGGAACAACCTGCCTGGTCTTCGCCACTTACGAGGTTGTGACCTTCAAAAATTCTTCTCTGACCTGTCGGTAAACAGACTTTACCATATCCCAAAGGACGGACTCGTCCCCCAACCTGATCTACACCTCCAAGGTCCCTTCCAACTTTATTATTATTATTATTATTATTATTATTATTATTATTATTATTATTATTATTATTAATCTTTTATTCATTAAACATGAACCTCAGTCAACTGAACATTCAAATTGGCTGTCACTGATGGTTGACACGGGTTGGTTGACACGGGTTGCTACCAGCATCCTAGGTGTCAACCAGGTACCTCCTTAAAATATAAGATGTTCCTAGTAGCGCAGTTTTTTGTAACATTGCTGGAGTTATTGCAGGAAGCTGCAGTTTCTTGATGTATTTTGCAAAGTTTTTGGACATAGTTCCCAGTGCCTCGATGACAGTGGGTACCACTGTTACACGTTTCATCCATAATCGCGCAGTTTTGATGGCCAGGTTGCGATATTTCGTAATTTTTTCCAGTTCTTTTTCTTCGACTCTGGCATCTCCTGGTACAGCGATGATGATGATGATGATGATGATGATGATGATGATGATGATGATGATGATTAAATAGTTTTAGAATAAATTTTCATTCTGAACTTTTTTTTTAGTATTAATATTATTGCCATGGATGTTTTATCACTACTATGGATAATTTTATTGTGCTCTTGAAGTGACACCAGCAAGGACTCTTGAGAAGCAAATAAGTACATAACACGAAGAAATAAAGCACATAATACATTTGCGGAAACATGACATTTATTAGTCACTCACTTGAGAGGGAATTACAGCACTGCGACCCAAGAACACGCAGATTAAAATGCATGCACCAGCGTTCTCTAAGTAGAGCAGAAGAGAAGCTTTCCACTTTGACTAGTTTAAGGTGTTGTATACTAGAAACAGACATGGATACATTCAGCTGTGTTTAGACTATCATGTGAGATCACTGCATCTCTTGAGAAGAAAAACCACGTAAACCAATACAATTCAATGTTTCATGAAAATAGACTGAATCGTGCAAATTCAGCCGGAGTGATGGCATATTGAATTTCAGGTATCCAAAACTCTCGTTTAAATACCTAGTCAAACTAGGATGGATAATGTTTCCTGAAAGTTTTAGATGCCAGACAATTCTTCACATGTATCAAGAGAAAGAAAATAATAAGGCTCTTTGGCGACTGTTATGAACTGTACTGAACTGATGTGGCATAAAGGGCCTTCCTATTGTCCATGTCAATATGGTCTCCTCCATTTAAACTGCTTCTACATAGTTGGCTGGAAGCATGCCTGTTTTGCCTGTTCTTTGCACAGTTCCATACATCCATCCTTCATCTACGGCTTGGACGTTGACAATTGCATCACCATCTTTGAAGGAGACTTCATCAGCATCTGCTGCTGTGTAGTCATACACAGCACGGTAAGTCTTCTATTGTGTCATATTAGAGAGAAAAAGAATAACCAAATGTTACTAGCATAAATGTAGAGTGCAGCGAACAATCAATTCAACACTTCTGCAACTGTGCAACTTTCAATAGAAAGACCTCCTTCCCAAACACATCAATGATACCGTTCAGTCCCACAAGTGAACATGTATTCATCCCAAAGATGACTATTCGTTCAGACACACGAGGGTTCTTTTTTCTCCCAAGAAATGGGAGGCAGGCAGGCAATGATGAGGTAATGATAAAATGTGACATAATCCAAATTTCTTCCCCATTTACAATTTGCCATTATGACCTTATATGTAAGCATGTAAAGAGCAACGCTTGATGTGATGAACCAGGTTCCACCATTTTGATGAGGTCATGGCTTGTTGTGGACTCACCTGTACATAGGCTCGATTTACAAATACCCTCTGCCTGCAGAAAACTTCATTTTTATAGATACTTTTGTTGGATCGTTTTGCTTACCCCTGCAGTAGACGGATGAGAGGGGATGGAAGATACTGTAGTCTGTTGAGTCGCAACAGAAGATGATCTTTGTTGTGGGAGCTCTACAGTTTTGGCATGTTTGTAACCCACTAAGGAAGGAAACGAAGTTGAAATATATCAGAAGAAGCAAACACAAAAACAAAAAAACCCTGGTATGTTTTCAAAATACAGTTAAATGGTGCTTGAACACTGCGTATGTTTTCAAATTTTGTTAGTGGTTGGGACTAGACATTACTGTAGCACTGATGTATGCATTGTTAGAACATCTCTTTGTAAAAAAAATGGTAAAACAATATCTGCCCACAGAGATACAAGGGTTTTGCTACATTTATTGATTGAAAAGAATCACTCTGAATAGGGCTGAAGAGACTGGATTCGCCCTACCACATGGAATATTATATGAGTAAACACCTGTTTGAATATGGCTAAATAAATAAATAACTTTGGCCATAAAAGCACGTTATAATAAGTGGGATAAGTAATATAGTATTTTTTGATAAGATACAAAATGTAAAAATATAAGGATGTTGTAACCAAAGGGAAAGTTTGAGTTTTAAAGACAAATTAAGTTTGAAAAGATGTAGGATTAAGGCAAGATTGAAATATTGAGGGGAAATTAGGCTTAATAAGAATTCTGAAAAAAAAGGATGTATAGTGATTTAACTAATTTCTACAAATAGAAGTGAAATATAATCTGACTAGAAAGATGTTATGGATAGATGTTATGAGATTAGTATAGTATCTCTAGAATATATGAAATATGAAAATTCTGGGATGATATATTTAAATGGAAAATTTGGATATTTAGATGTTAAATACTGGGAAAATATGATTGACAAGAATTGTTTGAATATTATGGAGAAATTGAGCTTAAACAAGATTTATGAAAATAAGATACATGGTGAATCAATAAGGTGACTTATGAAAATAACATAAGCTGATAAAATGCTATATATGGATGCTACTATTGTTGGTAGAAGAAAATATTTTTATTTAATCATTTAAATATGGAAAATGTCAAATATTAGAAATTATATTTGTTTAATGTTATAGAAGGAGAATACTATTGGGTGAAGAGAAGATCAAGGAAATATATTTTCAATTGATATACTAATTATGGAAATTAATTACTATTGATTGTTTATTAATTATTATTAATTGTATATTTTTTTCTAAAAAATTTATGAACTAAGACAACACGCTGTACACCAGGCACTAAGGTTATTATTGTAAAAAACTAATAAAACTTTTACAAAAAAAAAGAAAAGAAAAGAATCACTCTGATATTGTACATTAAATAAATTTTGGCAGTTATATGTTGCATTCTCAAGAAGGTATAATCATGCTATAACCAACCCTTACGTAGGTATCAAAAATAATGTGTGTCTCTTATAGTAGCTAATGTTGATACAATGGCAGCCAACATGTTGCATTATTCCTAGTCTTCCCACTCTGCTTTATCGGCGCTGAATTGCTTTGAGCAATGACTTACAAGTTATGTATGAAATTCCCCTTGATGGTAATTTGTCAACAGTGGCAAAATCATTGTTTTCCTTCCAGTTCCATCTTTTCTATCATTTATTTAACAAATAAAATAAATCTGAGATTTGCTATTAATGCTTTTCTGGCCTTTTTATCAAACTGCAAGGAAGTTGATTATGTTCTAAATGAAGGCTCATGAGGTGAGTAAGCAAATCAAAGTCAAAAGAAAAAAAGAATTTATTATTTATTTTATTGATGCTTAGACAGGCTAGGTTATAAAAAGAAGAGAGTCATGAGATAACTTCAACAGAGAAGTTAAAACATAACTATTGTAAAAAAAAAGATTGTGGGACTTCTGGTTTGCCGCGTGGCCGCCATGGACGCTCAGAAGACGAGTTTCATCTTCCCCGTCCAGTTTCGCATCGCTGGGGGACCCTGAAAAGGGTCGAAAGTCACCCCATAGAGACGACCAGCAAGGAGGGGCCCTCGCTGGATCGCAGGAGAGTGGCAACTCTCCTGCTAGAGCCAGCAAATCCCTCCAAACCGGCGGATGAAAGACCGACCATAGAGATATGATCCGTCACAAGGCTGCAGACAGCCGAAGTCACACCTACCATCTGGCATCTAAAGCAGCATGGAAGAATCTGGGTGAGATCTACCTCTCTTACATCCTAATTACTTACTTACCTGCATAAGCTGCTAAAGTACTTTCCCCCCTGTGGTGAGGGAAGGGAGATTTTAGCCCTCCCTCCAGAAACAGTGGTGATTGACTATCCAGGGGAGCTTAAAACATTGAAAAAATACTGTCTACTTCCTAAAATTGGTGGATTACAAGATTTGTTGTTTTTTATTTTTTATTTTTCTCTGATTTTATTCTTTATTTTTACTGAAGATCTGGGTTTTTTCTTTTAAAATAGAAGAAAAAAACTGAAAAGATCAAAAAAACTCTGGGGTGACATCTGGTGGCTAAACTTGAGATTGTAACCTGTTACTGTCTAAGAGAGACTTGTTGACAGCTTAGAAAATAGATAAGATATAAGCAACCTTGAAAATCCAGCTGCAAGAAACTCAGCTCTGCTCTTCACTTAGTGGACTTTCTGACTGTAAGCTTTTACTTTAATATACTATAATGAAAGAAGAACAGGAATGGACTTTTCCTACAGAGGAAGAACAGGAATAAACTCTTTGTATGTTAAAAGCGATTGTCCAAACTCTTCTTACAACTGGTGATGAAAAAGAAGCAGCAGGAAAAAACAAGAAAGCAGCCTGGATATACAAACTCAAATTATGACTTCAACTAAAGAATCATCTATACAGAATTCTACAGAGAAAGTGGAACAATCAAACGCTATGATAGAAGATTCAACTACTCAACAAATACAGATAATGGAAGATACAGAAAAGAAATTGATAATAGAGAAAAAGGAAAGGACTTTTCTTATAAATCAGAAAGAACCTGAAGATGAAAAAGTAAAACAGATGAAAGAGAAGATAAACACTTTGGGACAACCACGTCGAGATGGAAAAACAAGGAGACGACCTGCTAGATCAGCTAGCCCTCTTTTTAAAAAGGCAATTGGATGGTCTTTTCAACATCAAAAAAAGCCACAACAACACAAGGAGATCTGCTTGATGATTTAAAAGCAAAGACACGAAAGATGATTTGGCAAAGAAAGAAAGCTAGAATAAGGACTGGGGTTTTGATTTACACATGAGATTTAAAATAGAATATACCGAAATAGATAAAATATGTATTCTGAATATAAGACATTGTAACAACTTGAGATAAAGAAAATTTTGGTTAGGTAAAGTTGAGAAGTATAAATATTAAAATAAGAACATTATATTGTTTTATTAATTTGTTAAGGTAGATGGTAAGAATCTATATATAAGGTGTGTATCTTAAACATTAGATTGTGTGAGGAATTGTGATAAAGGAATTGTGGTTAATTAAAAATCTGGAAAAATAAATATTAAACGTTAAATTTAAATATTAAGGGAAAACTAAAATGGGAGAAAGCTTATTAGGTCACTGATTGGCTAAAAGATTGAATGTTTAAAAACAATTAAGATTTGAATTCAAGAAAAATTTTGGTTAAGTAAAACTTAGAAGTAAAATACTAATAATTAAATTTGTATATTGGTTTGTGGTATAAATGCTAATAGTGGTATAAATGCTAAAAATATTAGTCTCAAATATGAGATAGGAGACATAAAGAAGAAAAAAAGAGGAAATATTAAGTGTGGAAATAAAAGAAATCTTGGCTATTAAATTTGAGATTCTAAGATACTTGAGAATTACTAGAAAAATAAGAATATTACTTTGTATTATTAATTGATTGATGCAGACAGTGAGAATCATGTATAGATAAGAGGTGCATCTGGAATTTTAGACTGTGGGGGAACCATGATAAAAATTAGGGTCATTTAAAATTTGGAAATGATAAAGATTAAACGTTAAATTTAAAATATTAATGGAAAATTAAAATTAAGAAAAATTTATTAGGTCATTGACTGTCTAAAAGATGGAATGTTAAATTAATTACGGTAAGATATATATAAACTGAAGATTATTGATGAATGCTAGAAAGTTATTTTCTGTTTAGTTGATAGAATAAGAATTGTATTGGTTTGAATATGAGACAGTGTATATCAGTGATGGCGAACCTTTTAGAGACCGAGTGCCCAAAAACCTCCCCACTCTCTCCTGCCCCCGCCCCTGCTGCTGCCCTGCCCCCTGTCCCCGCCCGCCTACCCACAGCACCACCCACTGCCTCCACGGCCTGCCCCAGATTCCCCAAGCAACCCAGAAGCACCATGGCGGCTACACCCTCCACCCACGCCCTGCAGCATCATCTGCACATGATGGGGCGTGAGGGCGGAGTCTTATCCCTGCTGCTCAGCTGCCATGTCCTTGGCTGCACTGCTTGGCATGGGCCACACCTGGGGCTACTCCTCTGGGGGGGCTGCTGGTGAGGGGGCCACGGGGAAGGCGGGGCTGTGGCGACAGCACGAGTGCCCACAGAGAGGTCTCCGAGTGCCACCTCTGGCACGCGTGCCATAGGTTCACCACCACTGGTATATATTAAGGGGGAAAGAGAGGGAATTAGTTGTAATACTTTGAGATTTGTATTGATGATATTTAAATGTAATGGAAATTGTACTCAGCTGCCACGTTGCTTTTCAAATATTTAAATGTAATATTAGAAAATTAATAAAAAAAACTTAAATACAAAAAAAAGATTGGAAGCCACTTCTTTATATCTTTCTTTATAACTCTTTTCTTCTTTATATATATCTTCTTTTCTTTCCTCACTTTTAGCTTTTTCTTATCTCCCTTTCTTTTTTTGTTCTAGTTTAGTTTGTATTAGTTTGTATTTATAATTTTTCATAAATACTTATACAATTTGTGCCTCCAATTTCCCCTATAAGGTAATTATACTGAAATCAGAATTAAGAGATTTCTAGGATGGGAATTTTTTTACCCCGTCAGCCACCTCCAGTGGTTAGTGGCTCCTTCATATACATTTGATGGGAGGGGTTGTTTTTTTTTACCTGTTGTAGTTGTGGGGAGAAAGCCTCCATTGCTGTAATATGACAAATGCTGATCAGCAGCCTCTGAATGCTCAGATTTTTCATCCCCGCCACTAAGAGCACTGGCAGAACGCGAATGCTCTCGGCTACGTCGCTGGGCTTGAACTGGGAGCCAGAGGTGAAGAAATAATAGTCAGGGGGAACACTGTGGTTTCAAAGCAGCATACTTAGCAGGAAAATAAGGTTATTTTAAATTCCTAACCCTATAAAGCTGCATTTTGAGAGAAAACCATAAAGTGCTATCGGTACAATGCTCACAATTTCACAGACAGCACAACCTACCTGCCAGCAAGTGTAAGCTTCTCGACTGAATGTTATCTTCCGCTGGGTCATAGTCAAAGACCGATCCAGGATTGGTTCGCCATACACGAAGGCCTGCAGAAACATAGGATTAGAGTTGGATGTTGTTTTGTGTTGTTGCAGTTTTATTTTGCAACCAAACAGTCAAAATGCAAGTAAATTAATGCTTGTAGTTTTTATAAGCCACATTTAGAAAACACTTTACTAGTTATGCTTGAAATGCAGCTTGATTGAGAAACAACAAAGCAATGAGGCTTTGCTATTCTTTGTAAACATAACAGACAAACAATTATGGTTAGATGGTCTAAGATACTTTCCAAACAATTGAATCTGGAATATACCAATAACTCAATAGGCAAGTTCAATATAAAGTCGCCGATGTGCAGAATAATATCTGCACGCTATGAACAATGAATTTTACAAGCAGATTTGACTTAGACATAGTGTAAATTTTAGTACAAGTAGGCTCAAGATAAATCACGTTTTTTTTTTTAAAAAGTATTCGGTAAAACTAATTTTCTGCCACATATCTTGACTCAATGTGTTATAGTTTTGTCTGTTTGGTTTACAGAAGACCCACACAATATAAAATATACCTGTTAAGTTATTCATTTCTTGATCCTGATCTATTCGTTTTTGCTCCATTTCTACGACTCGTCTCTGAATGCCCCTATAGTTAATGTCACTGAAGTCCTGCATATTCTTCTTTACACGTTCTGTTATGGGATCCGTGACTACAGGTGTGAAGCTACCTTTGGTCTTTTCAAAGTCTTCATGGTATTTCACCTGGAATTAAAAAAAACAACAACGTCCATTCCAGATAGTCATATCTGAGATAGTTTTCTTCAAAATAATAATAATAATAATAATAATAATAATAATAATAATAATAATAATAATAATACAGTTGGAAAGGACCTTGGAGGTCTTCTAGTCCAACTCCCTGCTCAGGCAGGAAACCTTATACTATTTCAGACAAAAGGCTGTCCTGTCTCTCCTTAAAAACTTCCAGTGTTGGAGCATTCACAACTTCTAGAGGCAGGTTGTTTCACCAATTAATTGTTCTAACTGTCAGGAAGTTTCTCCTAAGTTCTAGGCTGCTTCTCTCCTTCATTAGTTTCCATCCGTTGCTTCTTGCCCTACCTTCAGGTATTTTGGAGAAAAGCTTGACTCCCTCTTCCTTGTTGCAACCCCTGAAATATTGGAACACTGCTATCATGTCTCCCCTTGTCCTTCTCTTCATTAAATTAGACATATCCAAGTATAATATGTCTAGTAGTGGAGTACAACACCCATATTTTTCATCCTCCAATAGCTAGGAATTATTTCCCCAATAATTAATCTTGCTAATTAAATAAGGCATTTATAGTATCTTTGCTTGAAAGGCATCAGGTTGGGGAAAGTTATCTTAAGTAATTGCTTAATATCTTACCCATTGAAATTATAAAAAATTATACTGTAAGTGTAAGCTGAATTGATTTTTTGCTTTGGATGTTACATTTGGAACTGCTGCATCTTAAAATATGTTACTGTTGATAGTTTACTTGGGCTATTTCTTGGCTTTCATACAAAGCTGTACTCACTGTGGAAATGTGCCGTTGTGTCTCCCGAACACGCCTCATTTCAGGGGTATCCAGGATAAATGGTGCTTTACCTTGTACTTGCTTCCGGAAGCTATCCGAATAGAGGATCTGATAAAATCAGAGAGTTTGAATTAATGACCCCAGACATTAGTGAGCAGATTTTTAAATGATGCTTCATTTAGAAGTTGTAAGGAATCAAGAAATGCCAAACATGCAAGCAAGCTTAGAGGCATATCATAAACCTTTATTCTTTATTAATTCTTGATCTTAAAAAGTTATTTGGCATGTAATATTATTGTTTTTTTAAAGATCTATTTATGTAATCTCTTATAATCTCTTAACCTACTGAACCTGAAGGGCTCTAAGGAGAACACAGACAACTGTTTTGTATTGTCTCAGACTCTTCATCGTTTCTTTCTGCATGGCTAATAGAAGGTTCTAAGACCTTCTGCTTACAAACATGGTCTATTTCCAACATGGTGCAATACAACAGTCCGTTTTAATCCCAGGCACTCAAATCAACCTTATGATATTCCAAGAAAAAGTGCCAGCTTTAGATTTTGGATACTCTAAGGCAATGGTGCTTCTATCATGATTTGGCAGCCCCCCAAAGCACTTGGTGCAAATTCTTTCCATGCAAAACTGAAGCACAAGTGCTACACTCAAGACCAAGGGTGGTCTCACTTGCTCCTAGACTGTGAAGAATTGTAAGGAAGAGAGACCCAATATCAGATAGAAACCAACTGTGGGATTAGTGCTGATAAGGTCCAAAAGGGGAGAGCAGATCATAAAGTCCAGGATTGGTCTTCTGAGAATGATAAAAGCCACAGAAAGGCGATGATGGTGCTCGAAGTAGTGTCACCACCATCTCAATGTGGCTCAAATGCCTTTGTGCATTTACACAAAAGGCATGTGTACCTTGACACCTACAATTGTATGTGTGTTGACTTCCTTCCTTCTTTTTATGTCTTATGTTATCGGACATAAAATGGTTAAAAATATTTGTAAAGAACTGCTTCAAGGCATTCTGAAGAAATCTTAAAACTTACATTTAGAAGAATGCAGACTTGGGTTTTTTTTTTTTAAAAAATCTAAAATGCAAAGATCATTTTTGACCCATGTAACATGAATAATGTAAAGACTATTTGTCATTATTATTTTTTTTAAAAAAAGTTAAGCTGTTTATTGAAGACAGTGACAACTTTAAAATCTTTAAGCCATGCTTAAGTAGAAATATGACAGTAGTAAAAACCAGATCATATGCTTAGGTAACATATTAGTTTCTAAATGCCAACATAAAGCATTAATGCAGTTATTAGTCTGGAAATATTTTGAACGTGTGTGTGTGTGTGTGTGTGTACGCGCACGCGCACGTAAGCAATAAATATATATAAAATATATAAATATAAATTGATTGTCCTGAAAATACCGAGCTAATATTTTCTTGATTGCGTTTGGCCCTCTCCATCTCTGGAGTCATAGAAGTTGGGGTTCCTTTTCCCAGGCTTTCTTTGTACAAAACCTATACAGCAGACAAGAAAGTGTTCAAAAATCAAAGATGAGATGCTTGTTTGTGAACAATTTCGTTAAAATTGGATTACTATAAAGTAAGAGTGTAATCACTGCATAAGTAGACATATAACCCAGGAAATAAATTGGTTAAAAGTTACAGGGTAAAATAAAAAGAAGAATAACAAAAATGACATTAAAAGGAGAAAAGGAGTGTTGTGTTTAAAAAATATAAAATGAATAGGATTGAGATATATTAGATGCAGGACAAAATGTGTTATTTTAAGTTACTTCATTTTTTTTTCCAATACCAAGCTAATGTTTTCTTGATTGCGTTTGGCTCTTTCCATCTCAGGAGTAACTGGTGTTGGGGTTGCTTGCCCCAAGTTTTCTTTGTAGAGGACCTGAAGATGGTAAAAGTATCCAAAAATCACACAATCACAAAAAGAGTCACAAAAAGAGTCACAAAAATATAATTCAAATAAAATGTCTAGCTTTTTTTTTCTTTTGCAAAAAAAAAAGGGCTTGAAGGCATTTTCTGAAAAGAATACTAATAAAAATATAAAAATAGATTATGATTAAAAACTTCACGATGTCCAAGGTAAACTTGATAAAAATGAAATGTCATTTGAGATACAGTTTTTTTTTCTCTATTTCACACAAGTTAGGAAAACATATACTTTATTGTTCACAGTTACATGGTTTTAGATTCCTATGAAATTAAATAAATACAACTGCAATATGAACGCAAGACAAACAGGTGCTTGAATCAAACCTCGCATATTTGTTAGAGGGATCTCTGCAATGTGTAAAAAACTATTCTGTGAGAAATCACAAAGAGAAACTGTAGTATATTTTGGTGGAAAGACATTAATAAAGGCAACATTCAAGTAGCAGCATTTAGAAGGAAAAACATTAAGAAGGTGAGATGATTAATACAGAAAATATTATTTTAAAGATAAGGATTCTATCCAGTTAGCAAGATCCATTACATTGCGCAATGGTTCTTTTCAATGAAGTCTTTATGGCTAAAATAATGGTCCAATATTAGTTATCTTACTAATGGAATAATAATAAAATTTATAAGCTAAGGAGAACAGAACAAGAAAACCGTGCTGATGATGTTACCTAGTTTGGTAATGAAATGTTCAGAAACTATATAGAAACAAGCTTGGAGAGCAAACCACTGCCAAAATCTAAAACCCGAGCTACAAGTATTTACTATTATTTCAAAATAATAACTTCTGCTTCCTATCAATTGCTGGCTCAGTGAAAGCCATGCAAAGAGGAAATTACCTTGAGATGTTTTCCTCATAGGGGATGGACTAAAGCAGCGGTTCTCAACCTGTGGGTCGCGACTCCTTTGGGGGTCGAATGACCCTTTCACAGGGGTCCCCTAAGACCATCAGAAAACACATATTTCCGATGGTCTTAGGAACCGAGACACCGCTCCTCTATCCGTCTCCGCATGGCTTCGAGCTGGGGGCCGTTGCAGTGCTGGATTTGTTTCCGTCGAGCATCTCCTAAGGGAGGCTGTGCTGCTTCACGGCCCTTTCCGCAGAGGAGGCTGAATTAAGCTCTGCCGGCGTTGTCGCCCTCTTGGATCTCTCTCTCTCTCTCCCTCTCCCCACCTGGGCGCTTCTCCAACCAGGCTGGGCGGAGCTGGCGGAGCGGCCTTCCTGCCCCCCCCTCCCCGGCCAGCTGGAGCTGGGCAGGCCGACGACCTTCGGAAGTGAGGCGAGGACAGGCGAGACACACTGAGCCCCGGGTGCAGCGGGTGAGTGGGCGGCATCGGTGCGTGCTTGGAGAGCCCTTAGGGTTGGGGGTCACCACAACATGAGGAACTGTATTAAAGGGTCGTGGCATTAGGAAGGTTGAGAACCACTGGACTAAAGGCACAGTGTATAGTTCTCCATACCAACTCACATAGGTCTTTTCATTCTCATTCCTGTACATACTTCTGATCACATCTTACTCCTGCAGATATTAAGGCTCTATGGAGTTCTTGGTGCTCTCTGAGCTTGGATGTTTTGCTTGCAGATGTCTCATTACTCGACTAGGTAATATTATCAGTGTTAGTTTGCTCTCTGTTTAGATACAGTAGCTTGCCCTGCCAGTGCACTACCAAGCAAAAAAAAAAACCCATACCCCCACCAACACTGGCAGGGCAAGATACTGTATATAAACAGAGAGCAAACACCACACCCACTAGCATTGATGATGTTACCTAGTTGGGTAGTGAAATCTCAGCAAACAAGCTCAAAAAGCAGCAAGGACTCTTAATCTTGATCCACATAGATTCTCTTCTATTGGTACATTAATGTTTTATTCCTTTTTAGATTAGATATGATACAATTTCTCTGCCAACCTTACTAGAACATGCTAAAAAAAATCAAGGCTATGAACAGTAACCCTACTAAAGTAAACTACACTGAAATCCATCATTAATGTCAAGTCCCAAGAACCAAGAATGACAGGTGGGGTTACTTCTGAGTATTTCCTCTATTGTTCTTCACCGATAGGCAGAAATTTGCCAGACTAAAGCAAGTATATGGATAACTACAGATATACTCTAGGAAGCTCTTTGAACCCTTTCCAAGTTTTGCTGCCTCTTTGCCCTCTGGAAAGCAGCCCCTCCATCTTGGGAATTCAGACTACATCCCATCCCAATTGTAATTTCTACAGAAGAATGCATTGATAGTCTAAGTTAAGTTATTTCAGAATCATTTTTCCTAAATCTTGTTATCAACAAGATCTCATTCCCACATTTCATCACATCAGTTCCAGAACAAAACTCTGATTATGGTGTTTTTTCTGCTGTGCAATTTTGCATAATCAGCAGCTGAGATGCCTATAGAAATGATAACCATCTGTTTGTATGACTTAGCCTTTCATAATCACCAAAATGGATAGCTTATATTTTAAGGTTATGTCATTGTTTGTGAATTATTCTGTCTCTTACAAAACAATTATTTGCATAAACCTCTTCTCAAGAACAAGTTATTTGGACCCGGAATCATAGCATGTAGTAATATCTGGATAGAGTCCTATTGTCATGGTTGCTAGATTATGAAAATTCTTCAAAATCTGAGGGTTGAATATTAATATTAATATCAGAGGTATCTTATGAGTAGAAGGTAAGTGATCAATATATCAGTATTTTATTTCAAGGATATTTTTAGATACAAAAGGCAAAATTTCCGAAGTTTTGTTAGCATGTTATTATATTTTATTATATCAAAAATATTTTTGTTTTTAAAGTACCGAGCTAATGAACTCTTGATTGCGTTTCGCTCTCTCCATCTCAGGAGTGATAGGTATCGGGGTACCTTTCCCCAAACCCTCTTTGTACAAAACCTACAAGGTAAAAAAACGGGTGTCCAGTAACCATAGAATAGCAACAGGCAAAATGATATTTCAAAAGTTTATAATGTTAATGCCAGGAACACACCAGCTTTCAGTATAGAAACTGGATGTTGATTTGTGTCAGCTAGAACAGAGACCTTCAGTCAACAACCAGATTAAAAAAAACAACAATCTAGTAGGATAAGGAAGGTGATAGACAGCACACACCAATCAAACAATCTGCTGAAGAAAGTAGCAACTCAAATCTTTCTGGGAATATGTTAGGTTGCAGAAAGAGTTCAAAGGGTAGATGGTTTATGCCAAGAGGCAGAAATGGGAGCTACAGTTCGGTTAGAAAACACAAAGCTCTAACACATTTAATATTATTTTAAACCATTCATTCCTTTGCTTCTTTCTTTTAAATACCGAGCTAATATGTTCTTGATTGCGTTTGACTCTCTCCGTCTCTGGAGTGACAGGAGTAGGAATTCCTTTCCCTATGCCCTCTTTGTATAAAACCTACAGGATATAAAAAAAGGTACCCAATATTTATAAAACAGCAATGCTCATCAAAAGATGTTAATAGCATATGGTGTTAATACTTGGATCACACCAACTTCCAGGGAAGCTAGCTGGCTGTTGATTTCAGGGTCACCTGGAACAGAGACCTTTAATCAACACCCACAGAAGAAAATGCTCTAGTAGGATAAGAAAGATAGACAAGCTTAAAAGAAAGGTGAAAACACTGGGTTTGCTGAAAAATAAATGTAATGAATCAAATCTTAGTAGTAGCAACAGTAGGAGCAGTAGTAGAAGACTTAGGTTGAAGAATGAATTCCAAGGATAGCAACCTTATTTTAAGGGTAAAATTGAGACTCAAACAGTTAGAAAGCACAGATCATTAACACAACTTATTTTTAAAATATTAAGTATAATTTCTCTTCTTTTGAATACCGAGCTAATGTGTTCTTGATTGCGTTTGATTCTCTCTATCTCAGGAGTGACAGGTATAGGGGTACCTTTCCCCAGTCCCTCTTTGTATAAGACCTGAAGGATACAAAAGAGTATCCAGGAATTATGAAACAGCAATGATCAGAAAACATATTAATAGGTAGCGTGCTTAATATTTCTATTGCACCAGCTTCCAGTGAAGCCAGCTGGCTGTTGATTTCAGTGTCATCTGAAACAGAGAACTTGAATCAACACCCATAAGGGAAAAAAGACCTGATAGGAAAAAAAAGATCATAATGCAAAAACAAAGGGGGAGGAAATTCCATGTTTGTTAAAAAAAAAAAAAAAAGGAGAAGTGAGCAAATCTTAGTAGCATAAGTACACATGGTCTGGAGAAGAAATTTCAAAGGTAGGCTTGTAAAAGATGAAAAAGCATTATTGAGAGTTAGAAAGTAAGATCGTTAACACATATCAATTTACAGTATTTCTAAGAATTCTGGTCAGTTTTTCTGAATACCGAGCTAATGTGTTCTTGATTGCGTTTAACTCTCTCCATCTCTGGAGTGACAGGTGTAGGGGTTCCTTTCCCTACATCTTCTTTGTATGCAACCTATAGAATACAAAAAGATGTACCCAATAATTACAAAACAGCAATGTCCATGAAAAAATATTAATGGTTTATGGTGTTAATACTTGGATCATGCCAGCTTCCAATGAAGCTAGCTGGCTGTTGATTTCATTGTCATCTGGAACAGAGACCTGCAATCAACACCCACAAGAAAAAAAAAATCCAGCAGCATAAGAAAGACAGAAAAGCTTTAAAAATGTGAAATTTCTCTATGTTTTGAAAATTAAAAGTAGCGAATCAAGTCTTAGTAGTACTAGTAAACATAGCTTGAAGAAAAGATTCCAAGGATAGGGGGTTTGTTGTGAAGGGTTACTTGGCAGTACTGATAGTTAGAAAGCAACATCATTAACACGTCAACTTATTTCAAAGAATTCAGATCAATGTTCCCTTCTTTTGAATACCGAGCTAATGTATTCTTGATTGCATTTAACTCTTTCCATCTCTGGAGTGATGGGTACAGGAGTTCCTTTCCCTATGTCCTCTTTGTACAAAACCTACAGGATACAAAAAGGTAATCTAGTAATTACAGATCAGCAATGGTCATCAAATGATGTTAATAGCTTTTGGTGTTAATACTTGGATCATACCAACTTCCAGGGAAGCTAGCTGGCTGTTGATTTCAGGGTCATATGGAATAGAGACCTTTAATCAACACCCACAGAAGAAAATTATGTAGTTGGGTAAGAAAGATAAAAAAGCTAAAAGGTGATGGTGGAGGGAGAGGATTCTATGTGTGCTGAAAATTAAAAATTGTGAGTCAACTCTTAGTAGTAGTACACCGAGGTTGCCGAAAGAATTCCAAGGAAAGTAGGCTTTTTCTGGGAGGTAAATCGGAACTACTGATAGTTAGAAAGGGAAGTCATTAACACATCAACTCATTTCAAAGAATTCAGGCCATTTTTTTTCTTCTTCTTTCAAATACCGAGCTAATGTGTTCTTGATTGCGTTTGACTCTCTCCATCTCTGGAGTGACAGAAGTTGGAGTTGCTTTCCCTACATTCTCTTTGTACAACACCTGTGGGATAGAAGAGCAGCCAAGTAAGCCAGCAATAAGTAAACTGAAAGGGATTTTGTTACAGTACTGATGTTTTACAAAGAAGTTGATTGAGAAGAGGACAGCTTGCTGGATGGTTGCATCATAAAAAAATTTCCTTTCAAAAAACAGGCACTAGTGTTCTTTATACATGGTGTCATCCTTTGAATATGCATTATTGGTTCTTTATATAATACTCAGGGAAGACTGAACGTGCCAGAGATTGGAAAATGAAGTGTTATATTTTGGCAATAATTTGGAGGCAAGGTTTTGAATAGCAGGAAAGATTTAAAAGTCTGCAATATGATGCTATCCTAAATTGAACATCAAAGATCAAAGCTTCATAGAAAGCACAATAAAGACATTAGCAAGATGGAACTGTGATTGGGAAAAAGCTCTTTAAAAAGGGAGGGAATGAAAGTGCCAGTTTCCTAGAAGTACCGAGCTAATGATTTCTTGGTTGTGTTTGACTCTCTCCATCTCAGGAGTGACAGGAGTTGGGGTGCCTGTCCCTAGGTTTTCTTTGTATAGGACCTGCATGGTAAAAGAAGGTGGGACAAAACAAAAATAAGAATGAAAAACAGCAGTCACTTCAAATATACCAAGGACATTGGTCTTCAATCTCCTGGGGATGAGCCTGAGGCTTTCAAAGTTATGAGAACTTTTCCAAGTCCTATTTCAACAATATTCTTTTTGTGGTTTCTTGCTTTTTTTCTAGCCTGCTAGCAAACTGCAATGTTTAATGCACCAAGTTATATATGACCCAGCATTAGGAATGTTTAAGTCATCCAAGATTGTAAGAAGATGTAAGAACGTGGCTTATAGCAATAGCAATAGCACTTAGACTTATATACTGCTTCATAGTGCTTTACAGCCTTCTCTAAGCAGTTTACAGAGTCAGCCTATTGCCCCCAACAATCTGGGTCCTCATTTTACCAACCTCAGAAGGACGGAAGGCTGAGTCAACCTTGAGCGGTCAGAATTGAGCTCCTGGTGGCAGTCAGCAGAATTAGCCTGCAACACGGCCTTCTAACCACTGTGCCACCATGACTCTTATGTTTTGATTAAGCTCAATAGTATTTTAAGATACCATGTGGGTGGATCATGGCCATGCAACCAACAAACCCATTAAAGATTATGAATGAATGAATATTAAAAATGAAAATAGTAAATATTTAAATGGATTTTATGCATGGGAATTCATAAAGTTGCTTCAAAATTTTATTATCTGTTTAGGTTTTTCTCTATTTTTAACTATACATGGCACATTACAGCATAGTTTGTAGCCGGGAGTCACTCACTCATCTTCCTATATTTTTGGAGGCTCTGCACTGTGATGTGTTCAGGAAGGTCAAAACACACAAGATGGCAAGCATGATGGCATGATCCAAGCCCTGCCCCTTTTGTATGTGGCTCAATATTGCACCCATATATAAAGCGTAAAGAGGTGAGGCTTCTGTCACAATGCTGCGGACCTTTATCTTGCCTGTTTTGATATCTCTACCACTACCATCACAACCACTGCCAATCCCTGGATGCACTGGCTCTAGGGCAGGAAAGATTGGTCCAAGAAGTTGGAAAAATGTTAAGATCTTGGACATCAGTCTTGTGAAATGACCTGCTAATTCCCCAAAATGCCCGAAAACTATCATAAGATGTTGATAATATTATTCAAGATCCCAGGACATTTTTGTATAAGGCCTTTCCTTTTTTCAGAATGAGCATATAAATTTAATAAATGAATAAATAAATATTTTTCAAAAATAATTTGGTTGGAGAAGGGCTTTGCTTTAGAGAGCCAGCAATGCAGTGCTGCAGAACTGTGGCATAAAGATTAGTCATCCAATATTTTGGAAACTTCAAACTATATGCCATGCACCAAGTTATATATGACCAAGCATTAGGAATGTTTAAGTCATCCAAGATTGTAAGAAGATGTAAGAAGGTTTCTTTTTGCTATGCTAAAATAATACAATAGTCTCCAACTATTGGAGCAAAGAAACCACTGCAAAAAATATCATCATGGTTTTGGCAGAAATAGGACATAACGGCAATCTTAAAGTGATGGAAGTGAGATTCAGCTATGAATCGTAAAAAATAATTCCAATATTTTATTCTGAGCATATTGGTTGAATTTTTTTTTTCATTTCTAAACTTCATCTGAGAAAGTACTATATACCCTCTTCCATCCAATTGGAGATTTAGACCATATTCTTTTTACAAATTAAGTTACACTAAATACATGATTTTAAAAAGAATCACAGGAGTTAAAAAAGAAAAACAATCAGGATTGTATTCCAGATGGTTAACAGTATTCCAGGGACAGTAAAAAAGTTAACAATATTCCAGACTATTAGAATACAAAATAGTGAACAAAAATACATTTATTGGAAAATTAACTATATTGATAGATTTGATATTACTTTAATCCGTGAATTATATAGCAGCTAATCAAGATTCAAATATTAATTTGAATGGGATCAAAAGGGAACTTTGTGTAATTAGAAGTACAAAGCTGAAGCTTTAGTGAACATCCAAAGTTCCATTGTACGCCCCATTTATTATAAGATACAATAGACTTAAGCATAAACTTTGCTTTTTCAATGAAACCCAACCAAACTAATTTTATTTAATTTTGGCTGGATTGTAGCCTAAGGTTACAGAGCCAACATTTTGTTGTGAGCTGTTTTGATCTACTTCCCACACTAACTATCAATATGAGTTGGGAATACATGTACCATCATTAAAGAAACAAAAAAATCAAATAAAAAAGACAGTAATTGAATGATTCAATTACTAAAATAAAGAGTTTATTTTTTTTTTAAAAAAGGATTTTATGTTACTCGGAATGAATAACATAAAGGTTTGTAATAATTAATTCCATTTTAATAAAGTTAAAGGGCATTTTTAACTACAAAAATACCGAGCTAAAGATTTCTTGATTGCGTCTGACTCTCTCCAACTCTGGGGTAATACTTATTGGAGTTCCAGACCCTAAATTCTCTTTGTATAATACCTGTGTAAGAAGAAATATATACGTAAAAAAAAAATCAGCACAGAAATGCAATTTTCTTTATGAAGTTAGTTTTCTTCACTCACAAAGTCTACAGAAATTTGAAAATCCTCTTAAAAATAAACCCTGTTCTGACCTTTAAAAGTATTCCTAAAAGCAGGGCTTTTTTTTGTCATAGAACGCCCAGAATGGAGTTCCGGCACCTTTTTTGGATGAAACCTTGTAGGGTAGGCAAGGCGGGTTGTATAACATGTGTGAGTTCCGGCACCTTTTTTTTTTAGAAAAAAAGCACTGCCTAAAAGTATTGCTAAATTGGATATGAAAGCCCACCCAAGATTATAATTTAATTGCATTCAAATAATTTGATGTGATTATAATGTTAGGTATACTTTAAATCCTCTGTAGCGTCTTTACATTCTCTCTTACAAAGGACACAAGGAGAAGAGAACAACCAGTCAGAACTCAGTTTGGGTTGATCAGGCTACGTCTTCCCTGATGTGGTCTTGAAATATGAGGACCTCTTCTTGAAAGTGAGTTGTGATCTGTGGTCGTATGGCCACTCGTAGGCCAAACACACAGACACTTTTATTTGCCTTGACAGCTTAAATATATTTAGAACTGAATTCTCTTGCTTGGCAAATTCAAGGGTTCACATGTTTTTATGAATAGGGGACAAAAAGATAACCTTCTTAGAATCTGTAGCTTGGTCTTGATTCTTCGGCCTCATGTTCTCCAGTCAAATAAATGAAAACTGGTGGAGATGGAGAAGTTGTTACTACAAAAGTGACAGCTATGCTATTCCTTCTCCGGAGTGAGACAGGATTGAAGGAGTGAGAAAGGATTTGGAAGTCACAGGATAGGTAAAGAAATGCTGGAATCCAATGGAACAATTATCCCAATTTAATTGCAACAAGGAGTCATTGGCATATAATGGCAATTAAATATATGGATGCACGTATAGACCTTCGTACTGGAGTTTGGAACTTGGAAGACTATAACTGTGTTCTTGTTTTTTTTCTGTGCAAAATCACAAACTGCTTTAAAACATCATTAAAAAAAATTAAAGATCAGCAATAAAAGAACATTTAGAAAAATATTTTACAATAGTTGTTGGGGTTCATTAAGTTAGGATCAAAGAAGTGTTATTCTAATTTTGCACTGCACCAACACGTGGATGCCAAAAGCTATTAGAAAGATTTCCTGTTATAAGGGCAAAGGGAAAAGCATCTATTTGTTTAAGGCAAACCATATTGTTTTATTTGAGGAGAGGAAGAAAGATGGAAAAGGAGTATGGTGAGAAGAAGAAGTTAAAAATCACTGCAAAACAAAAATAATTAGTGCTTTAATTGTCCACGTCTCATGATGGGATTAAAATGAAGAGGAAGAGATAGTCAAAATCTCATGGAGAGTTTAAAATTAAAAGGAAAGTTAGCATAAGATCATGACAGTTAAAATTATGTATTGATAAATATTTTGAGCTATACCGAGCTAATGTTCTCCTGATTACGTTTGACCCGCTCCATATCTGGCGTAACAGGAGTTGCCATTCCTGTGCCCACCTGTTCTTTGTAAGACACCTGTAAGGGTACAATAAAGTATCCACAAAAGACCCCAACAAAGAAGTGCAATAACCAGAACTGAATTTCAATTGGTAGTAGGTAGTAATAGTGCAAGGTTAAATCCTACAGTTGGACTAGTGTCACAAAGAGAAAAGGCTAAAAGAAATAGAATATTATTCATTAAATATGTGAATGACATTGCAGGTTAAGAAAAGCATACGGAAGGGAAACACTGTGTTAATTTTATCATGGGAGCAAATGGTTCATTATATTTTGTCTTATTTTTTAAAACTTATTTTATGATGCATAACGTTTTTAATTAGTTAAAAGTTAGGAAGGGAGATGAGTCACAAAAATCGGAGGCAGTAGAAAATAGAGTATGATAGTTAGAGATTATTCTTTTTTAAAAAGAAAAATTATGAGTTGTTAAAGTAGATTTGATTTTATTGAGAAATACCGAGCTAATGTGTTCTTGATTGCGTCTGACTCTCTCTATTTCTGGAGTACTTGATATTGCAGTTCCTTGCCCTGCATTCTCTTTGTACATTACCTGCAGAATACAAACACCCACCAAGATGAGAAATCGGATAACTTCTAGGAAAACATCAGGGCGCAATACAAATGTTGATTAACGCACTTATTTTGTATATAAATGTACACATAGATCCAGTTGCACTGTGAGAAACGTTTCCATTCTGTTTTGAAAACACTGCATGTTGTGTCAGAAAGGAATGATAGAAATAGAAATACTGTGGTTTATAGTACAGGTAGTCCAGTTTGATGTAGTGGTTAAGATACCCATCTAGAAACCGTAGGACAGTGGTGGCGAACCTATGGCACATGTGCCAGAGGCAGCACTCAGAGCCCTGTCTGTGGGCACGCGCGCCGTCCCAGCTCTGCCTCCCCATGGCCCCCTCCTCATCAGCAGCCCCCCGGAGGAGAGTCACTCCCGGGTGCGGCCTGCACAGAGCAGCACAGCCAAGGACATGACAGCCGGGCAGTGGGGACAAGACTCCGCCCTCATGCCCCAGATGATGCTGCGGGGCACGGGTGAAGGGCGTGGCCGCCATGGCGCTGCAGGCCTACCTGGGCAATCTGCAGAAGGCTGTGGAGGTGGGTGGGGGCAGAGCAGGCAGGGTGGGGGCAGAGCAGGGGCGGGGCGGGGTGGTTTTTGGGCACTTGGTCTCCTACGCCATCACTGCCATAGGAGATGACCAGGTGGAGCCCAAAGGCAGGATCACAAGTATCTTCAGTTTGGAATTACTATGCTCCCACATGCAACCTACGTCCAACCCCCCCCCTCCAGTGAATTCCCTTTACTCTTATTTAGCACGAATTTGCCTTCACCATTAGATCAGATTCTTAGGCATGGGTAGCATGTAATAAATTTGAAATGCTTTGAACTAAACTCCTGTTGCTGGTAACTTGCTCCTGACAGAAACTGGGAGACTGTGGGTTCTAGTTGTGCTTTAGGGACAAAGCCAGCAGGATGACCTTGGACCAATTACTTTCTCACAGTCCTAGGAAGGGAGTAATGGCAAACCACATCCAAAATCTTGCCAAGAAAACTGCAGGGATTAATCCAAGCAGTCTCCAAGAATTGGATATGATTAAGTCGGGGGAAAGTTCTTGTTTAGTGATTGTCTCATTTAGTGACTGGACATAGTTATGACTGTGATGAAAATATAATCTTATGACCACTCCTTACATTTTCAACTTTTGCAGGTCTGTAAAGCTGAAGTAAAATAGTAAAATCATGTTTCACTTAGTGACAGCTTCTCTTAACAACTGAGTTGCCGGTCCCAGTTGTGATTGCTAAATGAGGACTATCTGTGTTCCATTGAACATTTTGTTTAAAACTCTTTCATGGGTCCCCAGTCAGAAAGAAGGGATCAAAAAATCTTGGAACTATAAAGTTCCCTTTAATTTTTTTAATTTTGTTTTATTTGGGAAACCCATATCTGGAAAGTGCCTTTCGGATCAGATTTGAATTACCTGAATTAATAAGAATTCTGTTTCAACTTTAACACCCTTTCACATAATATCAGACCAAGTTTTTAAAAAAGAAGTACGTTCAAGCTTTAAACATAATATCAAACCAGTCTCACACATTTTTACTTTCTTTTAAAAAATGAAAAGAACACCAAGTCCTTCCATTAACAAAATAAATAAAAGTCTTGCATTTTACTCTTTTAAAAAGATGCCTATTTCCTCACATACAAAAATACAGTTAGAATCAAGTATTCACTCGGTTGAAAAAAATCTAAAAACAAATAACATAAATCTGAAGTTAAAAAATGAAACATGTAACACACATGTGTAGTGAAACCAAATTTTACGAAAAGCACATTTTAAAACTAATTCATTGGTGAAAAGCTTAGTCAAAGGAATGGGGAGCAGGCAAAAAATCCATAATAATAATAATAATAATAATAATAATAATAATAATAATAATAATAATAATAATAATAATAATAATAATAATAATAATAATAATAATAATAATACAAAACTGAAGTGTGCGCCACTTCAGTATCTTGACTTTTCTGACCCCCTCCACCACTCCACCACAAAGCGGGCAGTATAGAAAACAAGAAAGGAGAAGACAATACCTATGGATGCTTTATGGTTTCTTCATAGATATTATATTGTTACAAACTAAACAGCCCTAATTATGGTCAGCCATAATTGCCTTGCTTTCCTAGACAAATGTATGGCACAATATTGTACTGATTATTAAACCGCATCAATATTTCTAATAACTACCCAATGGGTGTCCGATTAAGATTTGATTGATTATGTGCCATCAAGTTGGTTCCAGCTTCTAGCCACCATATAAATAGATTTTTCTCCATGTAATTTGATTTGATTACCTTACAGAATAAACTAGAAAATTAAGTTCAATAAACGTTGGCGAATTATTTAGAATTTTAAACTCCCAATCTTTAATCCCTAAATTCGGATTTCAAGAAGTACGTTGCAAAAGTTAATTTGAAAACTGGAATTGGATCACCACACACAAATAAATAAGCAAGCTAAATAAACAATGCCTAATTCGCAAGCTAAGAAAACAGATATGAATAAATATTAATGCAATTGTATTAGGATTGTGCCCAGGTATCTCTAAGTATATCCAGAAACCTGTCAAACATCCCTGCTTATAGGCAGCCAAAGCTACTTGTCTTTGGCAGATGGCAAATTTTAGACTAGGTTTATAGGAAGCACTTCATTAATTAGTTTGTCATTATATTTTTAATTCCATTCAATCCCATCCCCCTTTGAATTTTTCTGCCGAGAAACCAACTTTTGGGATGTCCTCATCTGCTCAGCATTAATACACTTATATTCTCCTTTCAAGGTTTATATACAAAAGTTATCAAAGCAAATGGATCTTTTAGAATGTAGATGGAATACAGTGAGAGTGCCCTTTTAAAAATACAGATGATGTTAGTACATGTTAACAAGAGGAATAAACAGCAACTTAGTATGGTGAACAGCAGCATGTCATAATTAGCCAGCTCATTATTAAAAGAGAAAAAAAAATTAGCCACTACCGAGCTGATGTGTTTCTGCGTCTCCTTGACCCTTTTCACTTCAGGAAGGTCAGAAATGGGAGTTCCTTTTCCAATGTGTTCCTTATACTTAATCTACAAAGTTGCAGTCAGAAGAGAGACCAAACAATGACGTCATGTACAAGAGACATACATATCACTTAAGAGAGCACAGAAAACAATTGTCACTGAAGGTTTACATAGTTGTGGAACCATAAACTTTAACATGTACTCTAGTGAAAAATCCCTTATCAAGGAAGCTTCAGAAGAAAGTTAGGAAATAACACTCAAGTAAGTATAGATAATTAAATAGAAGTCTTTTTCGTGGATTGACGAAATTGTCACACTAGAAGTTGTTTGATTTATCCTTAACTATGAAATGATTTTATTTTTAAAAACAACTTTTTTTCTTGCCTGAATGTGACCCAGATAGCTTCAAATAAGCTAGTTACAAAATTATATGAACTGCATAGCACCAGGTTGGGAAAGAAAGAGTGCCATAGCATAAACCATCTACCTCATAGGTAGGAAACGCATAGTCATCCAAATGCTGCTGGATTAAGGCTGCTAGCAATCTTTATCTTGGGTGATGCTGGCTATGGCTACTGATAGCTGCAGTACAACTTCTGGAAGGCCACAGGTTCTTCATTTTGATCTTTGCTCTATTTCCCACAAAAGTTCTCTTTCACTACAACTGCCCTGACTTTAAGGCTACATTTGTTGACAGCGGAAGCTATGATATGTCTGTTCATCCCGGCATGCTGGGGTATGTGCATTTGTTGTGAATGCTGGTATTCCTCTGGTTGTTTTTCAGTTCCGATGTATCTAAATGCATCAGTTTGAATCCTAGTACTATTTTCAATGAAACCTAGAATATAGGCCACTATTCCATGTAACTGAATGCACAAAAGAGTCTTTGCAATGAAAGTGAGGAATCCCTTCTGAAAGAGGCTGTTGTCTTCATATTTAATAGAGTCCCTTCAAATATGAAATGTTATATGTGCAATGGAGCCACTGGATTAAAGAATTATGGATCAGATCCAGTTTTTCCAAATTTAACCTCGTTGTTTTTACCGAATATACTCTAAGTACAGCAAAACTATTGTTCCAACACATATTTATCCCTTTTAGTTCCAATCAAATTATATTTTAATCCCATTCAGTACTATGGCAAATATTAGTATAAATGGCATTCACTTTTATAAGTTAAAACAGTGCAGTTAAGAATGATTTACCGTGCTAATGTCATCTGTGGTTTTTCTAATTCTCTGTATCTCTGGTGTTTTTTCAATTGCTGTTCCTGTTCCAACGATATCTTTGTATAAAACCTAAAGCAAAACCAGAAGATCAGTCACAGAAAGACATATTGTCATTTCTACAGCAGCACTACAAAACATCAGAACATCTACTTCAAGAAAAATAGAAATAACATCAGAACATCTATTTCAATAAAAGAAAAACCATACCCATTCTCATCTCTGTGTCATGTGTATTATCTTTGGGGAGGCTTGTTTGGAGAAACCACTTGACGGTTATAATTTCAAGCAATATAACAGGAAAGAAATCAGACCAACAAAAACAAGCAATGTCTGTCATAAGGATATACAGGTAGTCCTTGACTTACAATAGTTTGCAATAGTGGCGAATATCTGTAGCTCAGGTATAGGATGAGGGTGAAGGTTCGTTCTCCGAGCTTGTGGGTTGGTTTCCGAACGTTTCGTTACCAGGCTGGGTAACATCTCCAGTGGAGTTTAGGGGATGTCAGTGTCGGTGTTCTTCTGTTTATAAGGGCTTTAGGTGTGGGTGTGTCAAATGAGGGTCTTGTGATGGGTCAGGTGTGAGTCATCAGTGAGAGGCTTGTGATGGGTCTTATGATGAGGAGGTTACATCAGGTCAGGGTCATTGGGGGGGTGAACTACTGGTGGGTGGGGGAGGGGGGCTTGCGTGTGTTGGTTGAGGGTTGGTGCTGCCTCTGGATGGTTGTGTGGTTGATTTGGATTCTGAGGAGTTTGTAGGCTGGTTGTAGGTCAGTGTGTCTGTTGATGGAATTGCTTGTGGAGTGCCAGGCTTCGATGAACTCACGAGCGTGGTGGGTGGTAGCGTGGCCCATGATTTTAGTGTTCTCCCATCAAGAACAAACCTTTACCCTCTTACAACAGTTTGTTTAGTGATTGTTCAAAGTTACGACGGCATTGAAAAAAGTGACCTATGACTGTTTTTCACACTTAAGAAAGAAAGAAGAAGGAGGGAGGGAGGAAGGGAGGGAGGGCTTTCACTTGCACTTAACTGGTTTCTCAATTATCTACTGTCAAGAGGCTTTATTGATATCAATGAAAAAATTGAAATGAGTTAGCAAACTAAAACATAAAAAGGAGACCAATAATTTGCTAAATAATATAAACTTACCGAGCTGAAATTTTTCTGGTTTTCTTTAACTCGTAAAATTTCTGGCGTTTCATTTACAACGGTGACCTTTCCTTTGCTGTCCTGCAGATCATGTTGATACTGAAGCTGTTAAGAGAGTACATGTTTTTCAGTGCATTAATCTCAAAGATTTCCGCGTGGCCTGTCACCAGTACAAGCCACTCATTGCTCCCTGAGTTCAAGAACAGGTGACATCTTCCTCCTCCCACACTCAGCCCTCTGCAAATGCCCCCTGCACCTCCGTTTCCCAGCTTTGATTCAAAGCTCCTGTTGCCCAACCTGAGCCTTCTGAGGTCTTTGAGAGGAGATGGTTTCAGACCTTCATCCACTTCAGGAGCAGCCCAGCTCTGATTGGCTGCAGTGCCTGGCCCAGCCCTGCCCTCCAGTGGCTCGTCTCTGCCCTGGGCAGCCATTTTGCTTAGGCTGCTATGTTTTCTGTTGGTCAGCAGTTGCTCTTTTTTAAAATCATCCTGTGGTTAATCCAATGATGGCCCCTTATGTCAACGGACAATCCTCACCCTTAGAAGCTCATGCTCTGTTCAACCCTCAAATTTCCCTGGGGACGCCCTTTCATTTTCTGCCCACAGAAAATCCTTCCTTCCCTTGCTCACAGTACTACAAAGCTTCCCTTTCCTTCTCCCCTCCTCCCTGCCTTTTTTTTTTAAAGTAAGTTTTAGATGCAAGGTGGAAACATTACTATGCTATTTCTGTAAAGCTGACCTATCAGTTCTTCCAGGCTACAAAGTTCCCCTGGAGCTTGAGAGAAAGTAGGAGCGCCAGAGCAATTTCCCCCTATTGTTTAGTTTAGATTGTAGCATCAGAACTACAGTGGTACCATATGAGGAAAAAAGAAACAGGAACGGGTTTGCTTTAGCATCAAAGAAAAGAGTGGGAAGGAGGCAATGTGAAGGTGGCTATGTATTGTGTGCAGACCTCTGGGAAAGGGTTTCCTGCCTTAGCAGGGGGTTGGACTAGATGACCTCCAAGGTCCCTTCCAACTTTATTATTATTATTATTATTATTATTATTATTATTATTATTATTATTATTATTATTATTATTATTATTATTATTATTATTATTATTGCCAAGGGAAGGCATGGGGACTAGTGAGAAGGGAGTAACCCCCCCAAAGGAAAGAGCAGGCACTGGTAGAGTGGTCCTCTGAAGACCAGCCTGCCTTCCTTGTGCAGATAAGAAAGTCAGGAAGCAGAGGAAAGAGCAATCCGGCCATAATCTGGACTGAGTACAAACCCAACCCCATTGCCAAGCCACTGTAATCTGGATTGGAATTTCTGGCGCTTGTTTAAGAAATAGCCTGGGAGACAAAAGCTCCAGGAAGAACTCAGTCTCCTTGTTTCCTGATTGACTTTTTCAATGTTAGTAATAGCAATAGCATTTCGACTTATATATCAGTTCATAGTGCTTTGCAGCACTCTCAAAGCGGTTTACAGAGTCGCTCTGAAATCTAATGATAAAGGTTTATCATTTGAGGCCAGCAGGTCCATACACATGTGGGACCCGAAGAGATCTTCAGTGTCCGAAAGCAAGACAGACAATCAGTGGACCTCCAGCTTTTCTCAACACAATTCCTCTCTCGGTGTTTGTGGGGAGGTGACACTGTTACATCCATTCTTTCAATCCGGTTGCTGAATTGAACGAAATGCTTAAGTGGATACTTTATGACCGCCTTTACAATAATAAAGTTATAAAACTGTCAAGAGAGGGTGTATGGAAAATATATTTACAGCAGCGCGAACAAAGGTCACTCAAAATATAATACAAGAGGTAGTCAAATCCTGGTGTGTTATTAATATTTAGTATTCTGCATTCGTGAGTTCCTTGAGAAATTTTAATAAGTTATTTGTAGCTAAGCCCCCCAATCTCAGTGGGACTTGCTTTCAAAATAATCAAGAAAGGCTCAAAGTGCAGTTATTACATTGAGGGCAAACTTTTAAGTTTCTTGCTCAGCAAAGCGATAATCAAGAACCTACCTTAGAGAGAGTGGTAATTATCTCTGGAAAATACCTGGAATCTGTCTCCTTTTTCTTGACCTACATGATCAGCATCCCTGACAACTGTGAGCATGGTCAGAACAGCATCAGGCATGCTTCTAGCAAGGTACAAGCGACCTATTTCAAACTCAAAGCAGGTGAGGTTCAAAACATTTCAGTTCCAAAATGTTTTCTACCCACTAGGCTTCGTATCTTATAGAGCAAAGGAAATAATATTGCACTTCAGGGGAGCACTGCTTGCTTTCTTGGAATTCATGAGTCTGCATATACATACCATGCTAAAATTCTTCTGATTTTCTCGGACCCGCTGTATTTCTGGAGTCTCTAGCACAGACACATAGTACGGCATGGTTTTCTCCGCATCTTCCTTATACTTTTTCTGTTATGCGGGTTAAAAAATGTATTATTATAGTAAGATTGTCATTTTTAAAATACCCATGCAGAGAGATACACACAAACACTTTTTGTTGTCTAGGGACCATAGCAAAGTCACCACAGGAATCAGACAAAGTCATTTATTCTTCAAATAAAGATTTCTCACTTGAGGCTCAAATGACCAGACTTACATTATCATACTTTGGTCATACTATGGGAAGGCTAGTTCTCTGTTGCTGGGAAAGATGGAAGGATAAAGAAGATGGGGGACAACCACAGCAAAGTGAATGAATCATTTACACTGGTGAAAAAAATGCACCACTTGGAACCCCTGAAGATCCAGGTTAGGGACAGATCATCATGGAGGAAATCTATCCATGTGGTCACTAAGAGTCACCACCAATCCGATGACTCATCATTAATCAATTAGTCATCTTCATTGTCTAAGGAAGAAATCCTTTAAAAATAAGAGCAGATGCATGACAAACATTGCATATAGGTATAATAAGTACATTTGTTAAAATGTGTGATGGCTTGGGTTGGCACTTTCCAGATTTCAATTGTCTAACGTGATCTAGATCAAGCAAGCTAAATAACTTCTTTCAGAAAATATTTGGAAATCTGGAAAACAATAATCCATTATTTTTATGCAGGGGAAGCCCAAAATAATGGTATTATCTGTTAACTTTAAAATCAGTGACATTCAGGTCATAGCTTTTGTGACTTAAGTATTCATTTGAGAAGTGTAAACTGGGCCAAAAGAAGTGGATTTTAAAAAATGGGGGAAGTTAAGAGCCACAGATATTAAGATGTAATGTCATCAAACAGGGGGTGGAAGAGAAATAATGGATTTTGGAAGACTGGGTTTTTCTTATTTTTTAAGGAATTGTTAAATGCTAAAGAGGAATGAAACTCGTTTACCAAATGCTTCTCTGCTAAAAAAAAAAAAGTGAGAAATTATACTTATGATTCTTGGCAGTTGACTAAGAAATTCAGCTGTACTCCAAAGACATAAAAAGAGATTTTAGGGGCATGTGATCTGTGGTTACCATCCCCTGCTTTGAAATCTATATGAATTTCCCCAGTGATTAAAAACTTTAATTATTAGTAGTTTTGTTCCAAATTGAAACGATTGCAAAAATGAAAGCAAGGTCACCAGTGAAAGCGAAAATGTCCAACAGTGTAGAATACCCCACACTTATTGGAAGGATTTACAATTCACTCTCAAGGTCACACAAACAGGGACCTATTTCAGAAGGTCTCAGTATCTCATTATTTATTATGCTGGTTAAGGCTCCTGGGAGTTGGAGTTCCCCTCCATCTGCAGGGCCATCATTACCTTACTGGAAAAGTTCTTCACATGATGTGCATGGATGATTTCTGGAGTGTCAACCACGGTGGTATAATTGGCTTTTTCCATTTCTGCAGAGTGCTTATATTTAAGCTGTTGAGAGAAACATTACAAGGGAGATATCCAGAATAAGTAATTTACAGATGTAGCTTTGCTTTTTTATTTTATATAGCAGGAAATCAAATGATGTTCATTAATCACCAACCTCACTAGCAATATCTGTGGCATTCTTTGCCCTCATATAATCAGGTGTCTCCAATGCATGGTCTGTTAATCCCCTTCCTTTGATTTCCATCTCCAGGGCTCTCTTATATTCTTTCTGTGGGTAAAGACAGAGATAAAAATATAACCTCTGAACAGACAGCTTGTTCCCAAATGAAATTCACCCCAATACTCCAAGGTTACCTTGATATGTAACCTACTCATGTAAATGTATGATGGAAGGAAGATCAATCTATTTTATAGAAGAAATATTAAAACTTGCAATGTGATATAAGATCTGACTTCATTTCAAGATTTTTTTGATAAAAATGTTGTGTTCAGGAACAACAGAATCTTCCTCATTTCAGTCAGATTTCAGAATCAGGTATTGATCAGATCAGATTACAAATCAGATAACATCCAATTAAATTTAAAAAAATGATAGCTACATGTGGGATTAGTTTTGGCACACATTCTTTTTAGCTTTTACAACATCTTCAATTTAATAAAATATACTATATAATTATGAGGTGATACAATGTTTTAACCTGGCTTCAGAAGACATGTCAACCAAAATAACTAAGAATGTGTACAGGGGAAAAAATTAAGAATTCAAAATTAAGAACCTCAAATACCCTGTTTCATTGGGAAGACACTAAACCATGAATACTTTATATAAGACATCAGCATGGATTGGTTAGAAATAATTGTATGAAATACTAGAGAATTTTTAAAAAGATACTGTAGACTAGTTCTTGAATTCAGTAAGAAATATCTGATTTATCTTGAATCCACTAAATTAATCAGGCCATAAAGCTGGAAAAGGTAAATGTAATAACTAGCAGATCTTTTCCTTTCTGCTAAAAATGTTCCATTGTTATAATTTCCAAGAAAATAATTCAATTTATGCAGGATCAGTTCAAACCAATAGTTAAATGTACTATTAACCTAAAAAATCCTTGATTTTTTTAAAAAAAAATCAAGCTAAAATAATTTTTAAATACATAATGTGATTGCAGTGAAAATCATCTAGTTCCTATTTTAATACAACTGTGTAATTCATAGATCCATGCATGAATAGCCCTGTGATGTATCAATTAGAGAAAACGCTATGCCAAAAAATGCATAAATTTGCAGAAATTGTGCATAGATTAAAAAAATGTGCTTTAAAATTTGTGGAAGAAAGTTATCCTCATCATCCTGCTGGAATTTATATCTGGATCATTGCTTATTTGCTATATGAACTGCTATTATCAGAGCCAAAAGAAGTTGGTTTTGTGTCTTTTGAATGTTGAAGACAGCTTGTTTGTTATCTGTCTCAGTGTTGCCCTAAGACAGGGCTTTTCAACCTTTTCACCCATTGTACCACTTTTAGGATATGGCAACATCCGAGTACCACCAGTCACCTAGCAAGGTGTCAAAAATTTGATAACCAAAAAAAAGAAAAAAAGAAAAAAGTGATAAAATACAGGTAGTCCTCGACAGTTCGCTTAGTGACTGTTCAAAGTTACAATGGCACTGAAAAAAGTGCCCCCCAAGCCACAGCGAGCAAGACACCTGCGTGATCACCCGGTGACGCTCTTCCTCCTGTCCGAGGTTTTCATTGTTGTGAGCATTTCTGTTGAGGATTGGCAGCGGGGGTGGGGTGGGGGGTGTTTGGTTTTTATTCCCCCCGTCTGCTGGGTGGTTGCAGCAGGTTTTGGTCACTTCACCTGACCCTGGGACACTGTGACCATCATAAATATGAATCAGTTGCTAAGCATCTGAATGTAAATCACAAGACCCTGGAGAGGCTGCAACATTCCAGCTGATCGGCGCTTCTTCTGGGCTCAGCAGAAGGGCCAGGATCAGTGCTGCTTTCCAGCTGATTGGTGCTTCTTCAGGGCTCAGCAGAAGCACCAGGATCAGCGCCAAGCTCCAGCTGGAGCCTGGCACTGATCCTGGCGCTTCCACTGAGCCCTGACAGCCCCAAAGGAGCGCCGATCAGCTGGAAAGCGGCACTGATTCTGGCGCTTCTGCTGAGCCCTGACAGCCCTGCAGCTCCAGCCATCTCACGCTCAGGCTTGTGCGGTGCTGCGATCGCTTCAGCTCATTCCCCTCCCCCGCTACCACTTTTCTAGGATGGTCGCATACCACCTGCCAGGTGCCAATGTACCACAGGTGGTGCCCGTACCACTGGTTGAAAAGCCCTGCCCTAAGAAATTGTGACACATGTTTTGCCTCCTTAGTGTGTCACTGTTGGCAGCTGCAAAGAATAAGGTGATGGCTGTTCTCTTTGAGGTTAGAGAAAGATGTTAACCATTTTAAAAACACTGTTGGTACTAAACATTTCAAAATGGATTTGGTTGAAAACAGAATATTTTAGTTGCAAGATCATGGGAGTTCAGTGGGATCAGGAAGACTATCCATAATCAATTAATTAAGCCTCTTCAGGATAAAGAATTCCTTTGGATGGGCTACAGAAAAAGACCATGGGTTCACTGTGTATGGTTAACTGGAAAAAAAAATATCTAGCTTTTCCTGATTTTACTAAGGAAATTTGACAATGCAAAAAAAAAAATATGTGAGAATTACTGCTCATGAAATGAATCTTCATCTTATTAGGTTCGGCTATCTTTGTTTTCAACTTATCAAATGTTACTCAGAAATAATTTATAATAGAAGTTCAAAGAACAACTCCTGAAGTGACTTTTTTTTTCCTTCAAGAAGTTATCACCACAGTTCCGGAAAGTGACTATTGATTATGATGATTTTCCATTTGATTGGTATAAAAATTAGATTGGATTTTTGTCTGCTATTTTATGAGGAGTCCGTAATGAAACTTTTTCATGCAAATCCCTACCTTTAAATTTTCATGAAACAAACATCAAGTTTATTCCCAAATCAGGCAATCTGTTCCCCTTCTAGATCTATTTCCTTAATAAATGTGGATGTTAGGTTTTATGCGCTAGTTTATGAGCAAATTACAGAATACAGCTCAGGCTGTGTTTAAACAGGGCCATCAAACTTCTGACAATATTGGTTTTTCAATAGATAGTCTTCCTTTAACTCAAAAGACTCAGCATCCACCACCTATAATCATTTTGGGGAGTAAGAAAGCCTTTATGTCAGTGGTGTCAAACTGCTGGCCCGCAGGCCAGTTACATCATGCAGAGGCTGCACCCACCCCAGCTCCAGCAAAAAAGTCATGATACGTCACGTGATGCGGTGAGTTTGACACCCGTGCTTTATGTGGTCTCTTGGTAGTTTTTGGTGTGGGTTTTGACTTATTTTGGGTCTCCACAAAGGTTTTATAGTTTGGATGTAATTTATTAATGTTTAAATCACAGCTGATTATTAATAGAATGCTTTCCTTTTCCTTGGTTAAATCTCTGTCAAAATGCTTTTGTTTCTTTTTAATTTTGCTTTAGAACTGCATAATCATTATCAATAAATGACAAGAAGAGGGGCAAAATAAAGTATTTCCTTACATACACTGATTATTTCCTAATCTTTTCTAATTAATTTATTTGTTTGTGATCAGTGGTGGGATTCAGCCAGTTCGCACCAGTTCAGCAGAACTGGTAGCTAATTTTTGTTGCCCAGGCCCAGAATGGACTTCCGGAAGAGGCATCCACATAGAGAACCGGTTGTTCACATATTTGAATTGCACCTGTTTGTGATGCTGCCTGATTACTGATTACTCTATATACTGAGTATATATGTGTGCATGTGTGTTTGTGTGTGTCAACATTTGAATTTGTCTTTTTTGACAAGAGAAATAAAGAAGACTTTAAAAAAATATGATGTTTCTTGAAGTTGTTTTTTGTAACATAATTTCCTTCCTTCCTTTCCCTATCAGTTGTGTTGATCCTTATTATAGTCACTTTCACATTTTTGTTAGTTTGTGTAATTTAAAATAATCCAAATACTTAGAAACTGAAATTGAAAAATGTCCTTCCTCTATCTGAATACATGCTGGACACAAAATTAGGAAATGGACAGACCAGTACTAAGCATTTTAATCCACCATAGAAATCTACCTTTCAGATTCCTAAACTTACCTCATTCAAGATATAGGTTGCATTCTTTGCTCTAAGTAACTCTGGTGTCTCCTCTAGAATTGTTAGACCTTTGCCTTTTACACCTTCTTCTAAATCTCTCCTGTATTCTTTCTAGAGGGTAGAACACAAGAAAATAAATCAAAAGAGAAAAGTAAGTAGGAACAAAGGGAAATCAATGAGAGGAAAAAACATAAAGGAGAATAAAAAGAATTAGTAAATAATTCCTAGACTAAATAGTTGTTTTTGCCTTCCAAACACACATATCTTGTTATACTAACTCTACCTAAAAATTCAAACAAAGGTATATATAATGAGACAACTCTGATTGGTTCCACCAATATAACAAATTTTAAAAAGATAAAGAAAAAAACTAGGCATCACTATTAGTTAAATCATGCTTATAATTAAAGTTAAAATTAAGAAAAAAATTAAAAAATAACTTTTAAACTTAAAATTAAAGTTTAAGCATGGCAAAGACAACAGTGAAGGGTCTAATTTGGGGGAGATAATTGAGTTTTCCATTGCAGAAGTCAGAAGAGTAGTTGGTACCTCGCTTGCTATTTTGGTGGCATATTTGACATGCAGTGCAGATGGTGTAACCTCCAAACCAATAAGATTCCGGCCTTTAATGGACTCTTCAAAATCTTTCTTATATTCTTTCTAATAGAGGTTGGAAGAAGGAGTGAGAAGAAAAGAAAAAAAAAATAGAATTAATGTTGGCTTTGTAAAAATAATTTCCAGGCATTTTAAATTGATGTGATGATTAGTTAGTTATGGATCCAATTTTGCCTTTGTACCATTTGGGAGTTTAATGTTTTTATGTGCATGGAGAATCTTAGTCATTCAGACAACTGGACTTCCTTGTTTTTCCTTTGAAGATGTTTCGCTTCTCATCCAAGAAGCTTCTCCAGCATCTTCAAAGAAAGACAAGAAAGCCCAGCTGCCTCTTGAAAAAGCACCTTTGGGACTTTAATGCTTTTAATTGTCCTAATCTATGATTAATTAATATTTTATGTACTTGCAAGCAATAATACGTAAATCTGGCCTTTAGACAAGCAAAATTTCTACACTGTAGTATCTGGGGAGCAGGTTGAAGAAAAAGGACAGAATGATCATTGGTCTTAGAAACCCAGTGCCAACAAAATGTGTGGGATGACAAGTCCAGTGGTTCTCACTCAACATGCTTGGGATGATGGAAGTTCTGATCTAACACACTAGAAAATATTAGAAAACACAAGGTAAAGAAAACTTCCAGTTTGCATGCTTGGTCCAAGGAAGTTAAAAAAAAGCGAGTAACTCCATAAATTCTGCATTTGGGTATTATATTTCCTTTGAATGAAAACAATTGACAGAATCAAACATTACACCCAAGTTTCGCTTTGCATGAATTTGATATTGGAATGAACATATTCCAATAATTCAACAATATTCTGAAATGCCCATGAAAGGATATGAAAGAAATAAAATTGAAATGAGTCCTAGAAGCCCAGCAAAGGGTGATTCTGAAAACAAAACAATGGGAATAAAATTGTATAGATGTAGTCTGAGGATGGAGAATGAGCAGAAGGGCTGGGCTTTTATCTGGCACCCATAAAACAAGCCGTGATGGTCATTCAATCAGTAAACAGAAAGATACGATCATTCCTGTTACGAAAATACCTTCAGAATATATTTATGATTTAAACTGCTAGAAACAATATAACCACAATTCAGTGTCTCGCTGATGTTTTCTAATATCTGATTAGTAACCTCCTACCTCACTCTGCATCTGTTGGGCTTCCTTAGCAGTGATATATGTAGGTGTTTCAAAGTCCAGCATGGGTTTTCCTCTTTCCTTTTCATATTTTTCTTTGTATTTCACCTGTCAAGAGGTAGGCATGTGTTATCCCACAGTAGCAGATTAAAAAGACACGTACAGAATGACGCATCGTTCACTCAACCCTAATCCCGAATAAAAAAAAATACAATTGTTGTGGTCGTATAACATGCTATGTCAAAATAAATGTATTTTTATTGATGAATGTATTAACCACATCAGTCAAGGTGACTTTAACCAGTGAACAAAAGCAACAGCCACAACCAGTAGAATTGCACATAAATATTTAGGCACCACTGATTAAAAAGTATTTCAATGAAACTGTTTCAATGAATCCATTAGTGCCGTGGTGGCGAACCTGTGGCACGCGTGCCACAGGTGGCACGCAGAGCCCTCTCTGTGGGCACACGCGCTGTCACCCCAGTCCTAGGCCTTCAGCTAGGTTTTATAAAACCTTTTCACTTTAGGCCTCCACCGCCGTGTGCAAAAAAAAAAAGTTCAATCAATCAATTTCAACTTCTCGTGGGAAAAAAAAGATCTCCCAAAGTTGGAATTGACTGGTTGAACTTTTTAGTCCCACCCAGTCTGCCATTACCACCGCAGCCATACCCACCCAATGGGCCACACCCACCCAATTGGCCACACCCACCCAATTGGCCATGTCCATCCAGCACCTGACGATACGTAAGTGGGTTTTGGGTTGCAGTTTGGGCACTCGGTCTCTAAAAGGTTCGCTATCACTGCGTTAGTGAATAAGGCTGCATTGTTTGAAGTCAAATAGATCTTTCTGTGAAGCTGAATGCATCCATGTCTTTTATGTCCAATTTACAGATTCAAAAAAATGGAAGTAACAACTATGCCAGGTGAAACAGTTTGGACACAGTCAGCAATTTGTAATGCCTTCTTTAGCATATAAACAGATTTTCAAATGTTTCCTGCCACTAACTGAAAACATCTATTCTTGTTTTTCCCTACTTTTCTTTGCAAGAAGTATTATAGCTCAGAAATATTCTTAGGTCTCATCCCACGCACTGCATGTTTACAATCTTTCCACAGACTTTCGATACTATTCAACTTTGAGATCTGTGTAGAACACTCCAAAACCTTCATGTTTCTTCCTATAAGCACTTCATCACTGATTATGTTTTGTTGCCTTGCTAATTATCTAACTTACTTTCAGCTTTGGTTTAATTACTGAATATGGGACATTAGTTTTTATGATATGTGGTTCAATCTAATCTTCCTTCACCTGCACAATGTTTCTTAAGCTACTAGTTCCACCCAATGCCAACACATAATAGATATCTTTCACTAGTGACCTAGTGGATACATTTAAAATTTTGAGAACACTTCATGGTCATTCTTATAAAGTCATCCTCATGGGAAACATGGACAGTTACAAAACATTTCATGTAGCTGTCCTCATGATGTTGTCTACCACACAGCTTACATTTAGCATTCTCTTAGGCAACTAGTCACATTTTCAAACCAAGTACTGTTCTACAGCCTTTCGCTATTTGTATTTTCTAAGCATATATTTTGGGAGTGTAATCCAAAAGTATCTTGGAAATAAATCTGATGCTTAAGGCTATGGTTTGCTTTACATTATGGCATTAATAAAATCAGGTGGACATGGAGCCTGCTGGAAATGTTTGTTTGTTTCTTTAGTTATTTACTTATTAAATTTAGGCACCGTCCATTTCACTGCAGTTATCTAAATGATTCTGGGTCTAGTGTTACTAGGCACTTTGGTATCCCATATTAGAAATCCAGAAATAACTGGCTGGATGCACATATATTATTTAGGTTCTGGCTTATTAAGAATATGGAAGGATTATATTGCCTAGAATAAAATTTGAGTGAAATCTATGGCCTATTATGAGGAAAAAAAATCCAGGATTTCAGTTTAAACTAAATCAGGGTAGGGGTTCCAGGTTAGTTTCCAATTCCTACTGGCAAGAAGAGCCAAACATACCAAATATACACTTGCATACTTAATATGCCAAAAGTCTATAGAACTTTGACATGCTTTGGATAAGAATACAGATACGGTGACATGTGGCAGTTGTATTATAAATATAAGTAGCGTGAAACACTTAACTGACTTACTATGCTCTGAAGTTCTGAAGCCTCCTTTAGATGGAGCTGTTCAAGGTTATCTGGAACCACGTGGTAGTGACCTTTATTCCTCTCGTACTGCTTCTTGTACTGGTACTAAAGGGAAGGCGTCAAAAACCACCTCAATAGTTAAAAAATTGTCCTAACCAGATCAGCTTTTCTTGATCACCTTACCCAAACATCTCAGTAGTCAAATGAGACATTAGAAATGAAATGTAAAAGAAATATATAAAAGAGAAGAAAGAAAAATATAAGGCAAAAAGGGACAAAATTACAAAACAGGAATAAAAAGAAGAAAGAACCAAAGAAATACGATGCGGTGAATAAGTGATGCTGTTAAAATGGAACGATGCCCCTTGGTTTTCCCTTAAGAATATAAAATGGGATTAGCTAACACTATTCAAGGGTGATTTAGTTCAGCATTTTGTGTCACAAAATGGCTGACTAGATGCATCGACCAAATCCACAAGCAGAATTTATTATAGCAAGAAGATAAAAGTTCAGAAAAAAGCAGATTAAGTCTGAAGTGGTTTTAAAAGTTAAAGAATTATTGTTTCAAAATAGTAGTTGTGAGTTAAAAAAAAAAATAAAAAAGTTAAAATAATACTTGTTAGTAAAAATATGAGTTATAAAAGTAAAAAAGCTATTAAATTTAGTTAGGTATTTAATGTTATTAGTGTTTTTGTTTTAAAAGTAATAGAAAAAGTTTTGAAGACTTGAGGTATTAATGTTGCTAGTCAACATGGGGGATTGTCATCAGGCAGGAGGTAAGAGATCACTACCAGGTGATTTCCTAGGAACAGTCAAGGAGGAAGAAAGATGTTGCAGAGGTTGTTAGCAGATATTATCTTAGGAAGGCATAAAAAGGTTAAACTCTCATTTTAGCTAACAGGCTTACAGTGCTAGCAAGGTGGCTGGTGTTCAAAACATGATTCATCGCAAGAGATTCAGACATATCAGTCACTGGCTTGTGAAGTTTCTTCAGATCTGCCTTATATTTAATCTGTTCATAAAACAAAGGAAAACGTCAGCAGCCTTGTCACAGGAATAAAGGCTTATAAATGGAATACATTCCAATGCCGTACTAGAGTTTGTGCTGACATGCAATGAACTACTGCTGATCCTTAATTCACCAGTGGCCAAAAGTTTTTTCTCTAGGACAGGGCTTTTCAACCTTTCCACCCATTGTACCACTTTTAGGATATGGCAATATCCGAGTACTACCAGTCGCCTAGCAAGGTGTCAAAAACTTGATGATCAAAAAAAATAAAAAGGAAAAAAGTGATAAAGTACAGGTAGTCCTCGACTTACAACAGTTCTCTTAGTGACTCTTCGAAGTTACAATGGCACTGAAAAAAGTGCCCCCCAAGGCACAGCCGAGCAAGACACCTGCCTGCTCACCCGGTGGCGCTTTTCCTCCTGTCCAAGGTTTTCATTGTTGTGAGCATTTCTGTTGAGGATTGGCAGCGGGGGTGGGGTGGGGGGTATTTAGTTTTTATTCCCCCCGTCTGCTGGGTGGTTGCAGCAGGTTTTGGTCACTTCACATGACCCTGGGACACTGTGACCATCATAAATATGAATCAGTTGCCAAGCATCTGAATGTAAATCACAAGACCCTGGAGATGCTGCAACATTCCAGCTGATCAGCACTTCTTCTGGCTCAGCAGAAGCACCAGGATCAGCGCCAAGCTCCAGTTGGAGCCTAGCGCTGATCCTGGCACTTCCACTGAGCCCTGACAGCCCTGCAGCTCCAGCCATCTCTTGCTCAGGCTTGTGCGGTGCTGCCACCGGTTCAGCTCATTCCCCTCCCCCGCTACCACTTTTCTAGGATGGTCACATACCACCTGCCCAGGTGCCAATGTACCACAGGTGGTACCCGTACCACTGGCTGAAAAGCCCTGCTCTAGGACAACCCATATTTTTGGAAATGCTTCTGGAACCTTCCAAAACGCCAATCTATATTTTCATTCACATGGAAGAATACTGGACACTTGGGATTGGTAGGGAAGCTTTCAGATCGGCGCAATTCAAAGCTTTTTCATTCCAAAAAGAGATTAATCCCACTAATTGCAATCATGTTCATTCCCGCCTACAGCCTCAACAAGGGGAAAATATTTTAAAAGCAAAAAAAGAAAAAAGAATGGGAAGGAGCCCTACTTTACTCCACCTTTCTCCACCTTATAGGCTGACCAAAGGGATTATAATTGTCCCAAGAAAGCTAGTAAAAAATAAGGATGAGAAGAGGCTTAGTGTGAATAGAAACTGGGTGTGAAAATAATTCAACGGTATCAATTTGCAACAGACTTCAAGTTTAAAGGAAATGGAGAATGTGAGGGGGGAGAATAAGTTACAGAAAGTGCCTTTTTGTATTCTGACTTTACTGCAGGCATGTCACATGACATCGCGTGACGTATTGCGACTTTTTCCCCATTGCCAGCAATGGGGTGGGCGCGGTTTCAGTATGATGCATCCGGCCCGCGGGCCGGCAATTTGACACGCCTGCTTTACTGTAACTATGATGTGGAGCAATATATGTGACTTATGACCACAATGAAGCCCAAAATTTCTGTTGTTAAGCAAGACAGTTGTTAAGAGAGTTTTGCCTCNATTTCTGTTGAGGATTGGCAGCGGGGGTGGGGTGGGGGGTGTTTGGTTTTTATTCCCCCCGTCTGCTGGGTGGTTGCAGCAGGTTTTGGTCACTTCACATGACCCTGGGACACTGTGACCATCATAAATATGAATCAGTTGCCAAGCATCTGAATGTAAATCACAAGACCCTGGAGATGCTGCAACATTCCAGCTGATCAGCACTTCTTCTGGCTCAGCAGAAGCACCAGGATCAGCGCCAAGCTCCAGTTGGAGCCTAGCGCTGATCCTGGCGCTTCCACTGAGCCCTGACAGCCCTGCAGCTCCAGCCATCTCTCGCTCAGGCTTGTGCGGTGCTGCCACCGGTTCAGCTCATTCTCCTCCCCCGCTACCACTTTTCTAGGATGGTCGCATACCACCTGCCAGGTGCCAATGTACCACAGGTGGTGCCCGTACCACTGGCTGAAAAGCCCTGCTCTAGGACAACCCATGTTTTGGGAAATGCTTCTGGAACCTTCCAAAACGCCAATCTATATTTTCATTCACATGGAAGAATACTGGACACTTGGGATTGGTAGGGAAGCTTTCAGATCGGCGCAATTCAAAGCTTTTTCATTCCAAAAAGAGATTAATCCCACTAACTGCAATCATGTTCATTCCCACCTACAGCCTCAACAAGGGGAAAATATTTTAAAAGCAAAAAAAGAAAAAAGAATGGGAAGGAGCCCTACTTTACTCCACCTTTCTCCACCTTATAGGCTGACCAAAGGGATTATAATTGTCCCAAGAAGGCTAGTAAAAAATAAGGATGAGAAGAGGCTTAGTGTGAATAGAAACTGGGTGTGAAAATAATTCAACGGTATCAATTTGCAACAGACTTCAAGTTTAAAGGAAATGGAGAATGTGAGGGGGGAGAATAAGTTACAGAAAGTGCCTTTTTGTATTCTGACTTTACTGCAGGCATGTCACATGACATCGCGGCTGCATAACGCTGAAAAAGGGGTAACGGTCGTTACCCCACCCGCGCCAAAGTCATACTACGTAGGCCGGGCGCCCGGCCGTTAAACTGTGCGGACGAAATGACATTGATACTACACCTCGTTATATACACTGAATACTGGTGTTACTTCGGGTTTTAAAGACAACAATTCGTTCTGTCAACAATTCTCTCAAAACGGAGATTTTAAAGGCTTTCTTGTCACAGATGTTAAGTGAATGACTGCAGTTAAGTTAGGAACATGGTTGTGAAGTGAATCTGGCTTTTCCATTGACTTTGCTTGTCAGAAAGCCGCAAAGGAGGGGTTGGACTAGATGACCTACAAGGTCCCTTCCAACTCTGTTATTCTGAAAGGTGATCCCATGACCCCGGGACATTGCAACTGTCATCAATACATGTCAAGTGTTTGAATTTTTGTTATGAGACCACGGGGATGGTGTAGTGGTGAAAAATAGTCATAAGTCTTTTTTTTTCAGCGCTATTGTAACTTCAGATGAATGGGTTGTTAAGTAAACGAATGAGTTGTTAAGTCGAGGACTACCTGTATTGCTGGAATTTTTCAACTGTTTGTTTTCACCTGCGCTCAGTCTGTTTATCTCTTTTATTTTCCCTGCAAACCTCTCTCAAAGGAACCTAGATCTGGCATCTGGGTTCTCCTCACCCTTCAAAGAAAAGCTAATGAACCGGACGTACCTCACTTGCAATGTGGTGAGCATCTTTCAAGGTCTTGTAGATCTTGCTCTCCTTCAGATCGTACTGAGGTCTATTTCCTTTTTCTTTATCGAACCTTTCTTTGTACTTGATCTGAGGCCGGGAAAACAGATTATTATTATTTTTTAACAAAGGGTCCTGACACCAAGAAAGGGAGAAGAGGAAACACCTATCCACAATCAGGTGGTCAAAAGAAATCTGATTGCAAGCAAGCAGATCAAAAGATGCAGAGGAGCTATTTCAAAACAAAAGAGACCATTGGAAACATCAAGATTTTTTTTCAGTAGTAAGATGGATACATGCTACATTTCAGAGGGCGACATTTCTTCTTTCATTCAGCAGTTTATTTCAGCTCCATGTATCAAAATATATTGAATTTATCCATTGCAAAAAAATATATATGGACAAGACGCTTGAGAAAGTGAGATGAAGCACAACTTCCTTTGTGTTCTTATAATAACAAGGGTGTTCCCCAACCTCCAGTTGAGTGGCACAATATTCTATATATCTCTTCACTCCCAGTCAGCATCGCTACTGGAATGAAGCAAGTAAGCAATCTGGCATATGTTCAGGCCTCAGAAAAGGAAAGGTGGCATTATACAATTCTGTTACTCTACCACCGCATCCCACAAAGGCATGATAAAGGGCAAATAAACCTGGGGAATCCATGGTGCTCTCTGTGTATCTTCAGTGCTAAAAGGGAGTGGGGTTTGCTCTCTGTTTATGTACATTAGCTTGTTTTATCAGTGTTTCCCTTCTAGTACTGAAGGTATTACCTAGTTGGGTAATGAAACGTCTGCAAGCAAACAGCCAAGCTCAGAGAGCACCAAATATTCTCTTCTATTGGTAAAGCTAGACTTCGAAAGCATTTATATCTTGGTTTTGCTCTAAGAATGTCAAAGAGATTGCAGTACATTTGTGACAATAACATAAGATAATGACTTTCCCAAGATTTCTCCTATGGAAGCTCACTATTTACCACCTGCCCTACTACTAATCATAAAGAAAGTTTGCACCGAGTGTAGTTTATGCCCAAGTTATTGTTTTTAAAAAAAGCGATGTCCTTTTAAAGAGTTTTTAAAAGCCACTGAGAATTAAAATTCTGCTGGGTGCTTTTTCTTATGTAAAACAATCTATCTGAACCCACCGATGGGTAGTCTGCTTCTCATCATGTAAATAATTCAGCCAGCTTGCTTTCATTTCAATGTAATTATATCCAACTTGCAAGAGGAACTTGCATATTGTATTTATATTACATAATATTGTATTTACATTACATAATAATACTGTAACTTTCTAGACAAACAAGTTTCTTAATTCCTAAAGGTTTTAGGACTATTATTAAACAACTTCATAAAAGAGAGAAAATATATTAGCTGTTTAGTAGACAATAAGTCACAAGTTATAAAAAATAATGGCATTATCCGGCCATAACTAAGGGCATTTTCAGTTTATTTAGACTGTAATTAGAGTTTAAACATAAAGTAAATGGACAATACGCTTAAAAGATGGACGTAACTCTGTCTGGGAGAGCTGATTGACATAACTGATGAAAGGAACTGATCATGCTAGAAAGCAACACACATCACTGTAAAGAAGTAAATTCAGGCTATCATCAGAAAAACCGAATATGCCATAGTGCACTTTCAACTCACATTCCATGGGGGTTTTTATTTCTAAAATGTGGATATTCATGCAATTCTGTATCCGTCATGCTGGATAGTTTCAGTTTTAAAACTAGATTGATAAAAAAAAAACAAGTGCTGGTGACATTCAGTTACTATCCTTCTGGTTAGATTTCCTTTAGAAACATATACAGAATCACATGGGAACTGATGCATTTATAAGGAACAATGACATTTTCACAATGACAGATTTGACACGTGACCAAGGAAAACTTTTAGCTACATCAATGTTATGCAAGTGGACTTTGGCAAAGGATTTCCAATTTTGTCGGCAAATGGACAACACTGGATACAAACCATCAACAACAATAACAACAAAATAAGAAATGACATGCAGATTAACCATAACAGTGACGGAATTGGTGACATGATAGACAGTATACATGACATGATAGACAGTATACATGACAAATAATCCTTTAAAAGATTATTTGTTGAAATTCTGCACAGCCAGAAACATAGAAACATCCACACAAACAAATGAGGTATCATATGAACATCTATAAATCTGAAAAAAAGTGTATTCATTTTTTTTTCAAGAAAAGATTATTAGTCCCATTCACTCTTCAAGAGTCAAAAGTTGCTGTTTCTTCAGTACAGTAAGAGACTAAATAGAACAGCTTAATAAGCGGAAGAGATTATTATTACAAAGACAAGACGGCTTATCAACTTTCAGTACAAAGAACTGATTTTTGTCACACGCACAGAAGGATGTTTGCGACTACATGCAACATAAGAAAGAAAAGTAAGAAAGGAAATGTCTCCCTTTTTTCCTTATGTCCAAAAGTCCTCTCCAATTTATGTCCTTCCTAAGGTTTAGGCCTACAGTTCCCATCATCCTTCACCACTGGCCATGCTAACTGGGGCTGACGGTACTTGGAAGCCACCTCTGTGGAAGGAGCCAATTTGAAGAAGGCAGATAGTAAGAGAGTCTTTCTTAAGAGGAAGTGGGAAAAATAAACAGGAAACACTTGACATCAAATAGCAGCAATTAGAAATTAGTCAAGATCTAGTTCTGGCTTAATTCTCCAGAAGCCTTTTTTCAAAACTCAATGTTTTGTTTTGCCTGGTTCAAGACAGTACGCTTAGATCACTATTGGGAATGTTTGCTCATTGTCTCAGTTCTTCCTCCATAGTACATACCACTGGGAATCATGGCACATGTTTTACTGTGTGTGTTTTAGTTAAAGCACAACATTCATTACACCAGGCTTGCATTGTAAATGCACTAACGGTATCTTCTAAAATTATTAGATTTGAACAAATAATTTATCTCCATTTCAACTCTGGACTCTCAGGAGCAATTTTACATAAGAAAGAAAAGGGAGATTTTTTAAAAATTAAAATTCATGAGATTTTTGATATATATATATTTTTTTTAAAAAAAGAACATCCCATTGGCAATCCAGGCTCAATTTTATGTGCCAAGAACATTTTGCAAAATTCATAAAATGGAAAAGCTAAAAGGACAAGCATTTTAAATCCTTCTTACATGACTACTTAGGGTGTTAGCTTTTTTAAAATGCCTCATCATGGGTGTATCATACGATGCTGCCCCATGGCCCCTCAAGTATCCTGTAATGTATTTCACCTACAAAGCATAGCAAGATAGCAAGATTAGAATAGCCAACCTCCAAGGACACAAAGCAAAGAGCTAAGACAGAAATGCAGGCATCATCCATTCCTTCTCTTGATGGAGATGTCTCATGGAAGCAGCATGATTTGGAAGCTCACCAACTGCACTTGTTCAAAGTTTGATGGAGGACAAACAGGTTGATGTTAATTAGTAACAACACTAAAATATAAGGTACCAAATTATTGAAAATAAATCATTTATACAAGCAGTAAAGCACAGTTTCAGTAGTGATTTGCACAGTAGAAATATCCAAGTATACTAAAAAATGAGTACAACTACGTAGGTTTCCAAGCAAATATGTCAGAAATCCCAAATGGGGAATGGCAATAAGACAAATGCATTAAAATACTTATTGCAAAAGAAAAAATGTAGAGCTGATAGCAATGTCTTTAAAGTAGATGGCATATGAAATTTATTTAACAGAAAGTTGGGAGTGTAATAATTACCTCTGAATGGGGTATACAGTATGTTTATGGGTCATATAGTCACTGAGAACAGAAAATACAGTTGACAACAAATGAATAATAAAAAATGCAAATGGTTGAGGGCATTGCCTGCAGAATAGCTTGGATGCCTTACTTGTTGTTTTGAAGGAGCTGCTTGAATTCTCGGTGAATTCAAACCTTTTCTAATATCTGAACCAGTGTTTCTCAAGCGTGTTGACTCTAACATGATTGGACTTCAATTCCACAAATTCCTCAGCAAGCATGCTGGTTGAGGACTTGTGGGTGCTGAAGTCCAGATATCTTTAAATTGCCAAGGTTGAGAAACACTGATCTAAATAGTTTCCAATTTATCTTGCCTTATTTCCATCCAATTTTTCCCTCTCTTTTACTTCTTTTCTTCCCACCTATTGTTTCTCCCTCCTTCTATCTATCTCATTTTTTTCTCCTTCTCTTTCATTATTTCTGCTAGTATGAGAAAGAAAAAGTATTTGTGTGTATCTGCCTATGTATGACTGTATTTGTAAGCAATTCATTAATATATTCAAACGGAAAATCTATTTTATGAATAGGATTTGCTGGCTATTCATTTTAATTAGGTAATATCCATTTCTTTTGATCTGGACTCTGCCTCTCTTAGATTATAGCTTCTAACAGGTGTGTAAATATACACACAAACATATATGTATGTATTTATGTGTGTGTATGTATTTGCATACACAAACATATTTGATAATAAGGAAATTTGTCATTACGCTTTATTTTTGTATATTTTTCCCATTTCTAGAAAGTTATCTCAAATTCAGGAATGTGGGATGATTGGTACTTTCTGGAACAACAGTCATATGAAAACCATAAATGAGAGCTTTCTAAAATATTTTATCAATAAAAATAACCTCATAATTTCATATTTACTTCTACAGGATGTCCTTCTCTTCCAATTAGCTTTATGGACAAACTTGAAGTTGGAAACCTACCCTTTGCTCAATGTTTTGTTTAAAAATGGACTGCAAATTTAAAGTTGGATGTCTTCCCAAAATGAATGCTGAAGTAGCTTTACTCTTTACCATTAAGTACATATTCATCTGAACAGGAACAATTCATTTTAAATAATTCACTTTAAAGATAAAATCATCACTGAGCTATTCAAGCCTTCTGAAACTAGAATCCAGATTTCTTCTGTATGTTCCATGTTACTCTTTGGAAGCCCAGACTAAGCCTAGGATTAATCAAAGATTAAGGGTGGACCGTGCATGCCCACAATGTCTACAACACCGAGCTAACCTTGTGATGAATGAAAAGCTGAGTTCACATGCTGTACACAGTGACAGGATTCTTTAGCCCATGAAAACCCCAGAATCAGCTCTACTGATTGTATTACTTTAGGTGTCAACATTACTTCCAAGAGAGTGTGGGAAATTCTGTGCTCCTATTGTCGTAAATTATTTGTTTTGATTGATCATACCTGGCTGGTCAATTTGGACACTTCTTTGGCAAGTTCAATGTCTGGACGTCCAAGCATGGTGACTCCTACTCCAGCATCTCCATAACGTTTGGATTTGTATTCAATCTAAAGTCAAGACAGACATTTGAAAAATTAATCAATGCTGCATTCATACATACCAAAACAAAAAGCAATTTTACTTATATGGATATCATACAAGCAACAAGTTACGAAGCGGTTGCATTGATTTGCACTCACATCGCTGACTAAATGGGAGACTTGTGTGGCCTTCATAATATCTGGTCGATCGGCCACAGTGGTATAATGGAGCTGTGATTTGGCATCTTTTTTATATTCGATCTACAGTAGGAGAAAAGAAGAGGGAGATAAATGATCAACATAACATGTGGTTTTTTTAAACTAAAAAAGACAACAGAAGGAAGAAAATCAGCTAATATTTTGCCAATTGGTTTGCTCTGGGCAGGATAAAATGGTCATTTATATATGAATGCTTAGCAAAAGGAAGAATGGGGAAATGGAGAGCGGAGATGTGAATGTAGTCATCATGTGTATGGAGACCTTTACATCCAACCCAAATCAATAAGGGTGGAGATTTTGTGAGGCATGATTACATCAGCTTTGTGGTTTTTTGTTTTTGTTTTTGTTCCAACAGCCATTTGCTTCTGCCAAAGGAAGAAGAGTGATGCTGTAGGACAAGTCATTGGAGAGAGGCAATTCTCGCTTCCATACACACATATCTCAGGAGACTTCACAATCGAAGCCCCTTTCCTTACATATGAAAACTATGCATTTGCTTTGGATGAGCACTTTGACTCTGCTCAGCACAACCTCCCAGAATGTTTAGAAAGCAGAGCCAATAGTCCATAATTTATGCTTTAAAATGGAATTAAAAAAAACACCTCAAAGTAGATTGAAAGAAGGTGTTTTTTTTTCTTTATCTATATCATGCTTGAAATACAGTATGCCTAAAATTGTTAGGGCAGTGTATATTTTAAACGCCATGCCGTTCATGTCCAAATCTTTCTTTAAAATGTTAAAACACTTATTTTCAAAATAATTATATGGGGTATTATGCACTCTGGAATTAAACAAAGCTTTCCAGGAAGTGAGAAATCAAATTATCTCCAATAAAGGAGAATGTCTGGAGCGCAGAGTTGATGAAATGAAGTGTCCCTGATAGTCTCTGAGCTTGGTTGTTTTCTTGCAGATGTTTCATTACTCAAACTAGCACTGATGATGTTACCTAGTTTGAGTAATGAAATGTCTGCAAAAACAACCAAGCTCAGAGACCACCAGGGACACTTCATTTCAACTCTGAGTTCCTTCTCCTTTATTGGAGACTGTTAGTCTCACACTCATTTATATATCCTGGTTAAATCATGATATCTTAATTCCAAATACTAGCAATACACTGAAATGGTTTCCTGGTCTGAATACAACAACAGATCGTATATCATTTGCTAAGGAAGAAAGTGCAGAAATAACTTACAGTACTCTGTTTCTTTGCCACATCCATGGCGTGCTTCACATCAGGAGGTTCCACCATGTTTGAATAATCTGACTTGCCTTTTTCTTTTTGAAATCTCTTTTTATAGTTTGTCTGTTTGGGATAGAAAGTTATACCTGTTATCCTCCACTGAAAACTTGTTGATGTTTAGAATAGGAAAGACAGATTAAAAACACTGCTATCTGGAAAAAGGGATATGTGAGTGTGTGCTTGTAAGATAATAGGTTTTATCTCTTTAGTTCTACTGTAATTTTCCTTTATGTTCTCAAACTTTTGCATTGTTGATTGGATTCAAAGGGCAGCCATATTGCTGCATTGACCGACAATAATAAAGTCAATACCATCAATTATACATACAACACCACATCTGTTCTTAATTCCTAGTCATACTGTGATTTGATTATCTTCTCACCCTCATGTCTATCTTCTTTCTCATTGTTCAAGGTACTTAAAATTCTTTCATTGTGTTCATAATCAAGTTTGTAAATCATGGAAGTTCAAATGAGAGGAACACTTTCTAGATTTTTCAACAATTGCAAGTACACATCCCACAACATGTTAAGCCTTTGTAGATTCTGAATATCTGAACAGCTGAAAGGACAACAGAACTGATGATAAAGAATAACCCTTCAGAAAACACTAAGTTATAATTTACAGGGGAGAAAATATAGCTTTACTCACAAACATAGCAAAGGTGAAAGACCATCTGCAATGTGAATAAAATGATGTAAAAATAGCCTACCTCACTAACATTACTGGTAACTTTTTTGACACGAACAGTATCCAGAGTTTCTGGCAATTTTGTGAAAGAACCATGGGGGAGGTGTTTCTTCACATGCTCTTTGTATTTGTTCTGTTTTCAAAAGACAAGCAAAATATATCAGAAATCACTTTAGGGAGAAGGTATTCTGGAGCCAGACAATTGCAAAATAAAAAATAAAATAAAAATTACCTCAGACACAAGAGAGCTAACCATCTTGGCAAGAAGGATCTGGGGAGTGTCTGGAACAGGATGGATGCTTCCTCGTTCCTTGTTGTGCTTCTCTTTATATTTTAACTGAGAAGTTAAAAAAAAGGGAAACATGTTTTCAAGCAACAGTCATCAACAGGATTCCACAAATGAGACTGCCAACAGTGAGCATGTTGTTTTCTTCTCTTAGCTATTAAAAAACCAGGATAGAGAAATCTTATATTGAAGCTTAGGCAACTATAAGATGTTTCTGAAGTCAAAATGTAACCTTGGAGATTCTTAACCTAATACATCTTAGGAGAAGGATGTGATGGGTAATTAATCTTACAAAACCTTTGTTTAAACATGATGAGGGCTTTCATCTAGACCAGGGTTCCCCAAAGTGATCATAATGACCCCCCAAGGATCGATAGAACTATTCAAAGTACAAATGACGGGGATCAAAAGGGGATCAACAAATGTCTGGAGGTCAACAAGTGGTCAATAAAAAATATTAAGTTCAATTGGGGTCAGTTAATCTTTTGGGGGCACTATAAAACGTACGTCAGTCCTGAAGATAAGGTGGCCAGCAGTGAAACAGTATTAACTAGGATTAGATGGCCAGCCAGAGAGAGGACCTGAGCTGTCTCTATTATTATTATGGATGGGTAATCTACAGTTAGATTCATAGCCTAAGACTGGTAGAAACTTAATAATTCAGTTCCTAACCAAGGACCTAAGAATTATTAAAGTAGCATCAAGGAATATAGGCAGTCCCAAGCAGGATGGGTTTTTGTAAAATTATGGTGTTCAGGTCTGATAAATTCAATATTTCTAGATATTGAGGAAGTCTTTTGCTGCAGTCACTGATCAAAGAGTCAATTGTTTCATCCTTTTCCCTACAAAGATGACATTTATTATTGTTTGTTACATGTTGAATTTTTGCCTTCAGGCAAAGCTTGTTGGCAAAGCTTGTTCTTGAGCCACTAAAATAAAATCTTCAGTTTGTTTTTTTAATTGTCCTGATCTAACAAACTTCATGTGGAGTTTTTATCAGCATTTTCTTCTATATCCTTCAAGTATTGACCACGCATTGGCTTGTTCATCCAATTAACAAATCAATTTTCAATTCAGTCTTCATCTTTGTTATTTTTCAAGAGCTTTACTTGATTGACTTCTTTCAGCAAGGGTTCTTGACTTTTCTTAATGTAGTTCATTCAGGCCTTGCTTTTCTTCTTCCTCAATTTGTTTCACTAATAGGAATCCTCTGCCCCCATCAGTTCTTGGCAACTATAGTTTTTGGGAACAAAACCTGGTGCTTTGTCATTAGTTTTCTTGTCTTCTGATCCAAGTTATCCATCTGGGTTCAGTCAACTATACCTGTTGCATATCTACTAACAAGGACTGGCTAGGTATTAATTGCTTTAATGATGTTTCCACCACTTGGTTTTGATTTCAAATTTTTTTGAACTAGTTTGATATTAATATTTGATATTATTATTTATAGTACTATTATTTATTTATTATATTTATATTAATTAAAGTAGTATTTATTAAATTATTTCTATACAATAAATATCTGTGGGGGTCAATGAGCAATCTAAAACTTCATGAAGGGATCAATTAATTGAAGAGTTGGGGACATCTGTCCTAGACTGAAGTTGGAAAGTTGACTGGCTTGCTCACTAGAGTTGAGCTCAATCTTGAGATTACTTGGAACTTACTAAGAATTTAGCACCACAATAATGGAGGGAAATGGGAAGTACAAATTAGAATTGGCTACCCAAACTAACACCAGCAATCCCCATAAATCATTGCTTCCATTTTTATTGTTATTAGTAGACATGAACTTTTTGTACATGGTGCTTAAAACAATTTTTCTTCCAATTGGATTGGAATGTGAGATAAATCCTATTTACAAACCATAATTTGTAAATAATGCAAACAGATTTGATGACATTTATGTTTTGTTCTTGTTTAACAAGAATTGTCAAAAGTGATCAAAGTTTCCATACAAAAGATTTTAAAATACTCACATCACTTGCCAAGATCGCATTCTGCAATGCCAACACTGTGTTTTTGTCATCTGTTACAGACAACTTGCATCCTTTGAGATATTGTCTGTCAAGCTTGTATTCATACTGCAAAGAAAGAAGGAACAATAGGAGCAACAACAAAAATGAAAAAATGTCTAGTTGTTCTAAATATCAACAAACTGTCTTATTCCATCAGGGGGAAAAAAAAAAGTTTTCTTTCTCAGTTGCTTACATCACTCTGTTGCAAGGATGTCTTAGCAGCTTGGATAAAGTCAGGTCTGTCCATGGTCCAGTGCCAGTGAGCTTTGGTGGCTTCATATTTCTTCTTGTAATCCAGCTATTTAATAAGAAATAAAAAAAACATATAATCAAAGTGTTCTTGCAAAACTGGCATTTTTTTAAAATTTTAAAAGGTTATTGTAGTTTGCTGAATAGTTAATAGTTTGCTGAATAGTTAATCCATCAACCAATCAACAAATATGGGACAGATATAAACTTCATAGAAGAGTGATGTGTCTACATCATGGTGTAATTGGGCAAATCACCCATCTAGGTCTAAAAGTCATCCAATTTAGCATCATTTAGATTTAATGAACCATTTTTATGATGTTACAACATTGATGGAAAATACCCAGAAAGAGAAATACACAGCTTGTCCAGGCGATCAGTTCTATATTTGGGAGGACACAAAAGCTAGGTGCCAGGATTCTATTTATTAAATGATAGTATCTTCATTCCCTATTCATATCTTCTGGGTTGCATAGGGTTTTCCAAGAACGATGGGCACTGGGAATCTATACTGACTCCCTTTCTCTATGAAGCATTTTATTCAACAAGATGGTGTGCGAGCCCATCCTTGTACTTCTGAAAAAAGCATGAGATACACAAATACCTTCACTGGATTTTTATTAAAATATGACAAGTGGGTTCTTCAAGGGTTCAAAAGAGTGAGAATTGGAAACACTGCTTTCCTAGTTTCCTTTGGAAGCCTTTGTCATCAAAATGACAACGTTTAGATGGGAAAGAAGGAAGGAAGGAAGGAAGGAAGGAAGGAAGGAAAGAAAAAGAAAGAAAGAAAGAAAGAAAGAAAGAAAGAAAGAAAGAAAGAAAGAAAGAAAGAAAGAAAGAAGGAAAGAGAAACAAACTTACATTGCTGTTCACTTTGTAAGCCTGCTTAGCAGCTTTAATGTGAACTGAATCTGGTACCACATTGCAGTGAGCTTTATTCTGTTCATAGAGTTCTTTGTATTTCAGCTGTTGGGAAAGCATAAGATGAATATTTTAGCTATATAAGGAAAAACAGAACCAAAGCCATCCCTAAAGCTTTATTCATATATTTATATAAGGCTGGATTGTGGGCAACTGTTTAAGGATGGCTGTGTATTTACAAAACATAACCTAAACCCAAAACATGGCAATAAATAATCTAACACACGAGGGGCATTTCATTGGAAGGATATAATTTTAAAAAATTACTTACTTCACTTATTCTGTCCATGACCTTCCGTACATGGAGAATCATGGGAGTATCATGAATGCTGGTATATCCCTTTGGTTTGGCTTTCTGGTATTCCAGTTTATAAAGAATCTAACATTAAAAAAAAATAAAGTCAGCACATGTAATCACTATATATATATATATATATTTAAAAAACACTTCCATTAGAAATTCACACCTAAAATGTCCAACCCCTCTTCATTCCCTAGTTATCTCCTATTGGATGTCATGACTGGCTTGGAAAATACAACTATCCAATCCAGTCCAAGAAAAACAAATAGTATGTCCACTACCCTCATCTAGACCTGTCTGAATAAGGCATACAAATGTTGCATCGACAATCACAACAATATTAAAATTGACTTGTTTGATCTCCTATATTTGAACAATCAGTCCATGAAACAATCATCTGCATGCATGGAACATAGATAGGTCAAACAACAAAAACAAAAGCATGACATTTTAATTAGTTTTTGGCATCGGATTTTGTATCATTCAGATGTGGGTCTGCTAGGAGTCAGTGAATATTGTACACTTGATGATATAATTTAACATTTGGTGTGTTTGATAAGTGTGTTTGAGCTCAAATCCATTTTAATTAGGAAGGTTAGTGATTAGTCACTATTTCTCAGTCCGAGAAGTTTGTTATGGAAACAAAACTGAGGGGAAGCCAAGAACTCAAGAAACACTGAGCTTCTTGAAGAAAGAATGAGCCTCGTGACCCATATCTTCTCCAGAACACACCCAAAAGACCAAAAACCTCATCACTGATTTATCTTTAAACTTACCATTTAATTGGAGAATTTTCAGTCAGAGAGTCACTACTGATTTATTTCCTATCTCTCCCCAAAATTTGTTTTTAAAAAATTGCTTAATACCACTTCTCTCAAGTCTCAGCACTTACATCACTGATTAGCTTGTTGACTTTGGTAGTCCTCAGATGTTCTGGAGTATCCACAACACTGGTAAATTTATCCTTCTGCTTTTCATACAGCCTTTTGTACTTGTACTGTTGAAAGAAAAACAAATAAGAATGATACGGAATGGCAGCAACAAAAAACACTGCCAATACACCTTTTTAGAAGGGAGCTAGAATTAGCCTGCTCACTATCAACAGCTGCATAGAGGTCAACTGAAACTGTCTATGTGGGGAGCTAAGCCCACACAACGGAAATGTCAGTTAGGTGGCTCTTGGTTATGCTGATTTCAAAGGAAGCCAACGAGATGCAAAAAAAACCTGCACAGCACACATTCAAGCCACCTCTCAGCCATATAACTGTGGAGTGTCTACTGTGAGTCATCATCTCTAACCCTCCCACCACCTTGATATGGGAATGGATACGAGATAATCCCATATATCCTTCCTGGGACAGGATGTGAACATGATAAATAAAAGGAGTAAATTAGCAGGATTTCACCCAAGCAGATGAAAACATTGGCTGTGCTTGAAATTGAAGGATCTCTTAAAATGAATAACCAGAGTAGGTAAGTAGCATCTTTTAGAATGTAAACAAGAAATTTAAGTATTTGTTAAATATTGATTTATTCATTTTATAGTATTTCCTTTGGGTTGTAATCCACACAGACTCTGGGCAGTACATAAGAGTATGAGTGAATTCAGGATCACTGAACCCACAAAAATTAGGAGTGGTTGGCATATTAAGTAAAAATATTGGTACTGAGCTCCCTAAATTAATTTTTATTTTTATTTTAAAACATCAGATTAATTGCAAATCCAAACAATACTTTGTAATTATAGCAGAAGGGAAAATACTGAGACTATTAATTGTACAGACATTTTAAAATATGTATATAAAATATATTACTTATTTGGACAGTAGACATAGCTATTATTATAGATCTTTATAAATTATTTTATGCAGCTGAAAATCTTGGGGAATCTTCTATTTGGTTTTACATAGAATACCAGGACCTTAAAAGTGGTATAAAGACAAGAGAGAAAACATAACCGTTTTTGTTTATGCATTATAATGAAAAACAACAACAAAGGCATGCACAAAGACACAAATAAATTCATGCACAAAAGAATTGCACATATACAAAACAATGACAGCGTATACTAAGAGATTGCTAACATATCAATAACATAAATAAAGCATGTGTGTAGACTAGATGCAGGGAGACTGAATTTAATTCTGAGATTAGTTAACACTCCAAATCTAAAACTATTTGCATGTAAAAAAAAAACCTATTACTTTTAGGGCAAGTGAATAATAAATTTTGGCATCATAGTATCATAATATCACTTTTATTCAGAAGTAAGTCAATTTAGATTATCGTAGCATAAACTAGATTTAGATAAGATGGAGATTCTGTTCACAAATATCAATGCTGCTTTACTTCCAAACATGATTTGTTTGTGAACTCAAGCTTTGGAGTTTAAATGTGAGCGTTAATGTTAAATAGACTTAATGTTCGGGTAGCTTACACATGATAGATTATGAGTGACTGCTATCTCACTTTAGAATTGGGCCTACGGAAAATTGGAGGAACTGAATTATGAAATCCTAAACAAGCTATTCCAGTTTGTATCTGTTTAGAGAATGAAGGTGATGTTTGTATTAGAACAGGTGAACAATGACTGTCAAGTGCATGATGGAGAATCTATGTTGGCCAGATGTTTCCTTCCCAACATTTAACAAAAACTGAGAAGGCTTTCCAAATAAAGAACAAAAATTTCTGGGACTAGTCTCTCCTGCAGAAGAAGTACAATAAATATTGTAGTTGGTACAATGCAGGTTATCTTGATTAAGGTAAAAAGCAGGAAAACAAAAATAAACTGCATCTATTTGTATTTGCAAGGAATGAATGATCTAAAATAGCATATAATATAGCTAACTTGGGGAGGGGCTATGTATGCTAGCCAGGTGTCCATCATGATAATGGACATGGAAGAGGAGACCTAAAAAATATTGGATATTTCATCCTATTCCGTTATATATTCAAGATGGACAATATTTAAAATTTATTGCTACGTATATGTAGGGATGTGGGTCTATACATATGTTGTTCATAGTATGTTTAGGTGTGTGTCATGTATGTGTTTCACTTTGAGAGCGGGCAACTAAATTTCATTTTTGATGTGTGCCATTGTGCCCACAGTATAAAAATGACAATAAAGGTTATCTTATCTATTTATACCTGTTTCTGCTGCAGATGGGCGCAGCTTTGACAAGTGTTCAGAAAGGGAGACACATAAGCAGTTTTTTCCCCTTAATTGTCTTGCTGGTTGTAAAGAATTTGCTCTAATAGCAAATAATGGCAACATTCAAAATCAACTCCATTCCTTTAATGAAGACTCTTTATGTTTATTGGACAAAGTTTCAATTAATTCACCACATTCTGTGGCATGTGTTGTACAGAGGTTTAATGTCTACAAGGGGCTATCATATATGCAGATTTTTAATTACTTCCTTCAACATTCACTATTGTCACATCGACACTATCAATCCACTATAACTGCTGCTACTGCTACTACTGCTACCACTGAATCAACTACTACTACTACTACACTATTACTACTACTACAAAACATTACCTGACTCCACTGATATGTGTTGTACAATGCTGTCAGCATATCTGGTCGCAGAATTTCATTACATCCATGTTGCAGGAACAACTTGGCATTAGACTTATACTTATTCTGTTCATGCAAACAGCAATGAAGCACAAAAAAGACTTGTGAAGACAACAAAAAGAGCTCTAGATCCCAAATAGTGAGATTTAGGCCTTTGGAATACTCCTGTATTCTCAAAAATCACACCAATGAAGGGCATTTGCTGTAGGCAGCAACATGAATAATGTCATAACTGAATAACTGAACGCTGGGACATTATTTTACTATCACCACACACAGAAATGCCCTTTTAATAATAAGAACATAGGAATAACTCAGACCTATTTCTTTTTCAAATGCCAATTGAAACGTAGTAGAGAAATCATCATCATCCATTTGGGCATAGTTTATGAGAACACAGAATATGGACAAGCTCGCACAAAAAGCTACTGAGCAATTTTGGGTGGCAGAGTATAGATAGTTTTCAGTACACGAAAGACATAACATTTTGAATATTCCAGATCAAACCTATTACATCACGGACTAGCGACACTTCAGACATGTAAAAATGGACATCCACAAATGACACCAGCCACATTTTGGATGTCTTGACCAACTTGGCCAACCGTACCTGACTGCTTAACTCTCCTCCCCATTTGGCCAGCAAGGTTTTAGGATCATCCACCACCAAGGAATACTTATCCTTCTTCTTCTCATACTCAGATTTGTATAATTTCTGTTCAAAGCAGCATCAGGAAGTAATAAATGGAGAGGCATAAAATTTAATAGCAAGGCATCAACTATTCAAAACTTTTTTAGTTACTCATTAAATCTATTCACCCATTCAGAAAATAGAGAAGATACTTATTCCCTTCCTTCCCAAAATTAGTTATGTATACATTTAAAACATAACAAAATCTTATAAATTTAAACAGAACAGTCCTAAATTGCTCTACTTCAGAAAGTAGCCAGAATAACGGCTTATTTCCAGGTCCAGTAAGAATAGGACGTCAGTGTTAAAGATACAGAATTAAAACTTCAGATTAGACAGCATGTCTTTTAACTCTTCAAGTTAATCAAAATTCTAAGTTCAGCTGCATTATAACTAATGCAATTAGCATATACATGCGTTTCAAAATATATAAATGCTTGTGATATAGATCCAAATTAATAGTCTGGACTTAACCCATTAAGACACAATAGCAAAATATAGAACATATTCAAATAAGAGCAGAGTTTGGCCTAGTACAGCACCAATTAATTTTGCTGCCCTGAATGATATTGTCTTGAAATATACTTAATTCCCAGCTACAAATGTAGGAAAATTAACTTGATTTATCTATGAAGCAGAAGAAAATGTATATATTCAGCAGAAAATAAAATTGCCCTAAAACACAAGATGTATCTCGGCGACCGGGGGAATACTCATTTTTTGGGTTAAACATGCATTATTATAGGAGTTTATAAAATCATTTTCTATTCCTTCTATATTTAATATTTTCCTGATTAATTCAAACATTGTTTTATATCAGACCTGAGAACATCTAGCTTGTGGATGGATATCCACATTTTCAAAACTGACTTCTTAGGGAGATCTTGCTACTGTTCCCAGATTTCTTAACTCTCTTCTTTCCTTCCACACATCCGATTCTTTTTTAAGTAAACAAACTAGTTAGTTTTCTATGATTGGATTTACTTATACTTTTTTAAAATGCACAAAAGAAATCTCAAGCTCTTTTCAAAGCAAATCTCGTATGTCCAGGATTTCTTTAAAGAAAATTCATTGTGAGTTTTTTACACACCTTTTTAACCCTACTTCTGTGTATGTGATACCTGCAATTCCAAAGACATAATCAAGGAATCTTGAAGATATTATTCTCCTGAAGTTCTCTAGATATTGGCTTTACCTCTAAATGTTTTTTTTAGAACTCTAATCCCTTTTACAAGATGGTTAGTCAACTTCTAACCCAGTCAGATCTCATTGGTGGTTCTTGCAGTACATACTTATCTATCCTAACTGGAGCAAAAAAAATCACCATTTTGGAAATTCATTGTCCTTGCATACATTCTCCACTATCTCATTAGCCTTTATATCAAGAAAGTGCCTTTAAGAAGGCTTTGTGGTATCTTCCCTTTGTCCAGGCAACTAGCTGTTGGTATGGTTTGAGCATTGCTGCCAATCAGTGTATAAGAATGTGCATTCTGTGCTGCTAGATATTGGGAGCAAGATTTGAAATGAAGATACTTCCTTGTTTAGCTATCCTTTTCTGCAACTATCTTGAAGGATTGGGTAGGCAAAATATATTAATTCTCTGGGCTTATGTATTTCTATGACATGAAAGGCTAACTGGAGATATTTAATCTTCTGAGCATTAGCAATAGCAATACTGCTTAGACTTATATAACACTTCATAGTGCTTTACAGCCCTCTCTATGTGGTTTACAGACTCAGTATATTGCCCCCAACAATCTGGGTCCTCATTTTACCCACCTCAGAAGGATGGAAGGCTGAGTCAACCTTGATCCGGTCAGGATTAAACTGCTGGCAGTTGGCAGAGTTAGCCCGCAATGCTGCATTCTAACCATTGCACCACTATGGATCTTAGTTAACAGGAATTAGTTAATTCATTCAGGGTTTTTAAAAGTTTCTCAGCCAACTAATCTTCCCTCATTTTTCCTGACCTAGTTAACCATGTTGAGAGTATAAAGCAATTTAATATGCGGGGGAGACTTTAATGGAATTGTTGTGGGCAATTCCTATATTACAAGAGTCTTTTAATCTACTTACCGCATCCATCAACCGAGTAGCATATTTAAAATGTCTGTTAATTGGAGTGTCAGCAACATGCTTGAACTTGGATTTTGTCCTTTCAAATGTTTCCTTGTACTTATACTATTGAAAACAAATATACAACAGTTATAAGGATATGATGAAAAAAATCAAAAGTCAGTATCCAACACCGATCAAATGTAAATGAGTGAAACACTGCAGTTCTTTCACAATTACTAATAAAAGTGAGCCATCAGTAAACGATTCACTGAATGTTTCCAACCTGGGAGACCTGTTAGTCTGCTGCACTCAAAAACAGAACTGAGTGATATATTTTTATTTACTTATTTATCAGATTTACAGATTCCCTGATTCCACCACAATTTGGGTGGCTTACAGAAATTTTATTTATTTTTATTAGATTGATATCCCATCCTTCCTCCAGGAATTCAAGGTGTTGTCTGCATTGTCTTTCCTCCAATTTTCTCCCACCACACAAATCTTGTGAGATAAGTTGCGCTGAGAGATTGTGTCTATCCCAAAATAAGTCACCAATTGAGCCTCTATGATTGATGATGGATTTGAAAAGGGGTCTCCCAAGTCCTAGTCCAACAGTTTAACTATTGTACTATGTAAAAAGCAACACATTTATTACAGGTAGTCTTTGACTTACAGCCATTCACCAAGCAGCCATTCAAAGTTACAATGGCACTGAAAAAAAAATGGCTTACAACCAGTCCTTGCACCTATGACCGTTGCAGCATTTCATGATCAAAACTTGGGTTCTTGTCAACCAGCATGTATTCACAACAGTTGCAGCATCCAAAGCTCACGTGAATGCCATTTGCAGCTTTCCTAGCTGGCTTCAGACATGCAAAGAAAATGGGGGAGGCTAGAGTCACTTAACAGCCCCAGTGATTTATCTAACAACCATGGCAAAAAAAAAAAAAAGGTTGTAGAATCGGGTGCAAGTCATTTAACAACCGTCTTGCTTAGCAACAGAAATTCTGATCCCAATGAGGGTGTTGTAAGTCAAGGATTACCTGCATGACACGAAGCTTGATTTATTTATCCAGCTGATTCAATCGCATGATCAGCAGAGCCTGAATATGACACCGTATTGTAGAAACTGGTAAAATTTTATGTTGCTAAAAAAAAAAATCTATGAAGCAAACGTATCAAAGGTCTTTCCCTTTGCGTATGCGGAATCCTGCCACTATCAAACTAAATCAGATCTTCACAAAGAAACAACCTCTCACAACTTCTGAACAGGAACAAATAATGCACGTACTGGACTATACAGAGCCTTATTCTTTTCTGCGAGGACAAAATCCGGAGTATCCCATGCATAGCAGCCAATGCCTTTGAGCCATGTTAAATCTTCCTTATATTTAACCTGCAAAAACAAGGTAGTAGAAGAAAACTTAACTACATGAAATAATGTCAGAAGTCACAAGAATTCACCATAAACCCTCAGTTTAACCAACCTGTCTTTGTTTAACACAGGGGTCCCCAACCTGTAGACCATGGCCCACTACCAGGCCGTGGCCTATTGGCCACTGGGCCATGTGAGTGGCTGGCCAGTGCGCTCGTGTGTGTGCACACACTCACCCCTTACTTGTGCTACTGCTAGTGGTGCTGCTAGCATCACACAGGCGTTAGCGTCGCAGCCAGTGTTGCATGGGTGCGCGCTGCCCCATTGACATGTGTGCATGAGTGCATAAGGGCACCTCCCCCTCCCTTTCCCTCTGGGCCACCAACCCAGAAAGGTTGGGGACCTCTGGTTTAACAGATTTCAGGTAGAAGAGGTATATTTTTCATTTGGCACAGAAGCTGAACCTATGCCAAAGTTCTCTTGGCAACTCTTTGAGCGAGAGCTGCAAACCTAAGATATCCTACGAAAAAAAGTCCTTGAACTGGAAGGCCCAAATATCTACATCCACTCTGAGTCTGTTCTTCTCCATTCAATTCCACCTCTGATATTAACTATTAAAAATATTCCTTGCTTTTATCATGGAGCTTAGAGGTTTTGACAGATTTTAAATTCTGAAATCATAAACAAAGTGCAGTCAAAAGTCCACTGGTAACCCTATAAATGAGTTCACTTTGCAGGTGGTATTACAATTGCTAAGCTCTCCAACAGCAAAAATAGAAAATCATCCACTTTTGAACTGCATCATAAATTCACCATCCTAGATTTTCTCAAGCATGTTGTTCTGTAAGGCTTATTTATGTGCATGATGCAAGTGGTCAACGTAAATTAATACTCACAGTACTAATTGCATCAGTGACAGCACGATGGTGGTAGTGTTCTGGATGATCTGGGATAGATCTCCAAAATCCTAGTTCACTCATGTACTTTTCTTTATATTTCACCTAAAAAAAAAGAATTTGCAAACAATGAATAAATAATATTAAATTAACCCAAAAACAAAATACACGATCAGAATTTAAATATGCTTTCTCACACAAAAGCCCCACTAAATGCAATGGAACCTGCTCCCCTATAAATCAATTTCAAGTTGCAACAGATTATTAGGAGAACATAATATTCATATAACTAAGCTGCCTTATGTAGGCAACCCAGACTAAGAAAAATATGCACTGAATAGAGGTGCCAGGATGTAGCACAAGCCACTTCTGCTGCTTGAAATTCCTTTCGGCCAGCAAAACTGAACTAGAATTTGGGGGGAGAGGACAAATGAAGCATTGTTAATAACAAATCCATACCCCAACCAGTCTGGGAAAGAGGTCTGCAATGCCATCACAAAATTAAGATAAGAATACACAGTGCTAAGTAACTTCAAATGCAGTTGTTGTTATTCAGTTACTAAGTCATACCTGACTCTTCGTGACCTCATGGACCATAGCATGCCAGGCTCCATGTCCTCCCTTGTCTCCCAGTGTTTGCCAAAATTCACATCCATTGCATCAATGACACTATCTAACCATCTCATCCTCTGCCGTTGCCTTCCCCTTTGCCTTCAATCTTTCCCAACATCAGAGTATTTTCCAAGGAGTCCCTTCTTCTCATTTGGTGGCCAAAGTATTTGAGCTTTGGTTTCGGTATCTGTCCTTCCAAAGGACAGGCAGGGTTGCTTTCCTTTAGGATTGACTGATTTGATCTCATTGCAGACCCAAGGGACTCTCAAGAGTCTTCTCCGGCACCACAATTTGAAAGCATCAAATTCGTTGGCGCTCAGCCTTCCTTATGGGCCAACTCTCACAGCTACTCATTACTACTGGGAAAACTGTAGCTTTGACTGTATGGACCTTTGTTGGCAAGGTGATGTCTCCGCTTTTTAATATCCTGTCTAGGCTCCAATGCAATATTCTAAATGTAACGGAAGCTCCCAAAACCCCAACTGGATGTAATGATCTCTAATGACAACTGAATTTGGCTGTGGCTGGGTGGCTGGGTAGATGGAATGGGGGACAGACTTTAAAGACAAGGCCCTGTTAAATGGATGTTTGGGGGTTAAATGGAGATTGAGAATGTTTTATAATCAGGCAGAATTTCATATTTAAGAAGCCATATACTTACTTTGCTGATATCATCAGTGACCTTGCGGTGATAGACAATATCTAAGGCATCCTTTACAGTGTGGTATTTACCCTTTGCTCGCTCAAATGTTTCTTTGTAGCGCAGCTGATTAAAAAAAACCAAAAGACATAGGTTTGAAATGTATTTCTATATCATTAATGAGATAGTGTTAGTTCTGAATTATGTCTGCTAATGTCAGACCAATCAGATATTATCTTCACTTGTTCAGCTTTTGCAAAGACAAAAATAGGCACAAATTCTAACCTGAACATAATATTATCCAATTATATTTTGACAGCTTAATTTTCTGTATATTTAATGTAGTTTTCTCTGCAAATGCAAATGTTCTTTTCCTTCCAGTTTACACAATACTTTTGTTTACTTCTCCTTCCAGTTTACACAATACTTTTGTTTACTTCATTCTTTTTTAAAAAATAATAATGAAGGGATGGAGAGAGAGAGAGAGAGAGATGAGAAATGTGTGTGTGTGTGTGTGTGTGTGTGTGTGTGTGTGTGTGTGTGTGAGAGAGAGAGAGAGAGAGAGAGAGAGAAAGAGATCCAATTATAAACCAAATGTACATTCTAAATAATGCTGGTTTCCTGCAAAATTTCACATTCATCCTTGTTCAGGTAACTATTACTTCATCTGCTGAATAATTTTTGTATTACTTTAATATTTCATTATAAAGAGCCACGTAATAAGAATTCTGGTCATCTTGCAGCATTTCTGTAGAATATTGATTATCTCCAATTATCCTCTTATAAGATTATCTACAGTATTAGCTAAAAAAATATCTTTTTTTTGTCATAAACTTACATCACTGGCATTCAGATAAGACTTCTTAGCTCTGATGAGAATTGGTGTATCCGGGACTGTTATGTATTTATCCTTTAGTTTATCGTAGAGTGCTCTGTATTTTTTCTAAAGAAACAGAAGGGAGGGGAGGAAAAGTATGAGTAATAGTGAGACTTGAGCTCTATAGAGGCTATAGAGCAGACATGTCAAACACAAGGCCCGGGGGCCGGATGCGGCCCGCGAAGTGGTTTCATGCGGCCCGCGAAGCCATCCTGGAAACAGTGAGGGAATGGCCCCCGCTGCCTTGGCCCTGGCCCAGGCCGGCCGGGGGCCAATGTACAATTTTGTGGTGGCCATCTATGCTGAAACGCATTCAGTCTTAGGTCCACAAGGCCATCTGGAAACAGCGAGGAACTTGCCCCTGCCTTGTTGGCCCCGCCCCCTGGATGCATGCTGGGGAGGTGTCATCCTTTGTGAGGAATGAAGAAATGGACTATGCCTTGGCGCTTGCCACGGTCCCACCCCCTTCTGCCAGAGACCCTCAGATCTGTCCCACTCCTGCCCAGGGACCCACAGGCACCCTTGATGCGAACGATGTAGAGCTGGCCATGCCCACCCAGTAGGCCACACCCACTCCATCCACATCCACCCAGTAGGCCGTACCCACCCTGGCCACACCCACCCAGCCCCCTCGAGGGCAACCGCAATGCTGATGCGGCCCTCAATGAAATTGAGTTTGACACCCCTGCTATAGAGGCTAAAGTATGAAAAGGAAGAAAGTATCCCAGTGAGCATGGCCTGAAGGCTTGCTTTTTAGGAGAGCCAGATGTTTATCTGTCTCTCCAAGACAACCCAAATGGTGGCAACCTTTACCTCACTGGCAAAGTCCTTCACATGCTTGGCAAGTTTTAAGGCAGGCGTCTGATCTCCAGCACGGTGATGTGGTCTTTCCTTGGTGGCGAGTTCAACATACAAGTACTGTAGAAGAATATAAAGTTGTTGCAGATCAGATAGGTTTCATGTATATCTAAAACCCTAGACTTCTTCTTCCAGTGAATTTTGCGTATCATTGGTCTTTCTGCTCTTAAGTGGCAGCTCACGCTTACATACGAGCACTTTTTAATCAGGGATTTCAGAGATCAGAGCTACTGTTTTTTTTCTAGGAAGAAATGTGTGTTACAACCAAGTAAAAACACTGGAATGGCTGGAATATTTCTCACGATAAATACTTGTGCTGCATTACATATATACGCTCATAATAATTAATTAAATGTACAAGGCCATCAAACTCTATAATTCCTCCAGGCAGTGCATAATAAAAACAAACACCCTAAAGAAAAAGCACACATATATATACAAAGGAAACTGCAACACACTAAATGAGACCATAAGATCATTCATTAATTCAGTTGGAATATTGCCTGGTAGAGTTTTCTATGACAAGCTTCTAATAAGAAATTAGTGATTTTCAAATATGTCATACACAAAAATGATCCATGTCCCTTTTTCCAATTCAGTCAAAGTATATTGGTAACAAAAGCTAAACTTCCAAACAATTTGCACCCATATCATCTTGGCTCTGGTTACCAAAATTTAGCACAGTCTTCAACTTTAAGATTTATCTTTTTCAATTTCTTTCAAGTAATCAAATGATTACTTGACAAATGCCTTCTAGTTGGATGTTTGTGTCTTTAAATTGGTGAAAAATTAATAACTATATCATTATGAATCAATAACTATATTATTAAAACAGCACAGCTATGTTGCAATTAGAATAGAATAATAGACACAGGGCTTTTTTTTTTTTTGTCATAGAACGCCCAGAACGGAGTTCTGGCACCTTTTTGGGATGGAACCTTGTAGGGTAGGCAAGGCTGGTTGAATGACGTGTGTGAGTTCCAGCACCTTTTTTTTTTTTTTTTTTTTACAAAAAAAGCACTGAATAGACATATTATTAATATAGCAATTCAGAATGTGAGAAAAGTATACAAGGGAGGAGGAGGAGGAGGAGGTGGTGGTGGAGGAGGAAATATTGGGCATAAGCTTTTGCAAGAGAAAGAATGTAATAATAGAAGACAGATCAGAGCTGGGTTGGAATTAAGACAAAGAGAATTCTTGGAGGTGGAAAAGACCTGAAGATTCCACTAAGCTGACTCAATAATTACAAGCACAGGAAACTATTTGTTACTGTAATTTGCACAATTACAAAGCACATAACAATGGCAGGAGAAGAACTCTTAATATATCCTTTCCGATGAGCTGAGTAGGTCACAGTTACTTGGCAGACATTCCAGCAGCACAGATTTATGAAAGAAAAGTTGCCTGCAGTTCCTGCCTAAGTGTGGGGGGGGGGGGAAATGTCTTATTACTTGGAAAAACACCCCGGAGTTATATATGTGTGCTTGACAGAGTTTCTATTAAATTACATTGGAGGTTTATGAGAATATGCTACTTTCTTTTATTGTCATGATTAAGTTGGCTGGGGAAAAACCTTTAGATCTATGCTATTAATATGAAGAGAGTTAATCATTGCGTAATACTGTTTTCATGCTTTTAATTTTTTTCTCTTATTTATTTTCTTTTTTCTTTACTTTCTTTTTACAAAATAATTACAAATAGTGGTGTTATCAATATTATGCATAGGATTTTATTTAGATTTCTGTGTATTTCTTAAGTTGCCATAATAAACAGTTCTGCACCTTTAATAAATTAGTGAAACAATTAATTTCAAAACTGATAATTGCAAACGTCTTGTTTATTTTCCGTATTTTCTTCTTTATCTACTATGAATCTTTCTGTTTTTCTTTTATGCAGCTATTTATCCTGTTCCTTTAAATATTTTAATAAATATATCAAATATCTGAAGATTGCACAATGCTTCTCAACCTTACAAATCTAAACATAATTAAAAAATGTTACACAATACTTCATAGTTGCAGCTGAACATGTACTTACCTGGCTCTGCAGTTTTTGTCCCCTTTTGGCCCTGTTGAAATCTGGTGTATCAAGGATTGATGTGTACTTAGACTTTTGCTCTTTACCTGCAGCTCTGTATACAATCTGGAAAGGATTATATGAATACAATACTGTGAGAATAACCCCACACACTTAATCATGCCCAGCAAATCTTTAAAGCAGTTGATTTGGGCTAAAAGGTGAAAAATTTACCTCATCATTGAAAGCCATTTTTTTCCTGGAATGAAGTGTTGATCGATATTGATCAATAATGTATATCTACATTATCAAAATATTTTAACTATTTTTCACCTTCATTTTGGGGCAGAATATTATTGGAATTTCACAAAATGTCTTGCACTGGTTTTGTTTGCGCCATTGACTATGATAGACAGAAGATCCTTTAGCCCAAAGGTATTGTGCAGCACTTACTTGCAAACAGTAGGAAACAGTAGCTTTTTTCCTTCATCCTTGAACTTGGCTTATAAGAATTAACTCCAAAGCAAATGACCTAAGATTCCTTGACATTTGCAAGCGTGCATCTGTTATAACCAATCTTTGGTTTTAATTTGGCCAAAACTGAATTGATTGATTGAATGATTTATAAGAGTAGATCGTAACTTCCCAATAATATCATGAGGAGATGGTGGCCTGATTGTCCCTGCCATCTGAATTTACTCTTCTAGAAGACCCTTGGTTGTTTTCCCTTCGGTAAGTTCATGGTTTTGTTTTCCCTGCATAGATTCTTTATAGAACAAATTGTTAATCTGATAGGTTTGTTTCTGGTCTTGTTCTTATTCCCCTGGTCTTCTATTCTTCCTGCTATGAAAAGTACTCAGCTTTGATGACTCTTGTTACCAACCTAAATTACGTTTTGTGTATATGTATATGTGTATGTGAATGTGTATGTGTATATGTATATGCATATGCATATATGTGTGTGTGTGTGTGAATTTAGATTTTTGCTGACAAAGAGTTAAAGGGAGACTAGTATAGCTATTTCGAGCTATTTAGCTCTCATCAGCTAGCATATATATATATATATATATATATATAATATATATATATATATATATATATATATATATATATATATATATATATATATATATATATACACACACACACACACACACACACACATATACATATCTTGGTTGTATTTTTTTATTGACAGTTATCTGCCACAAAATGTCAAACATTTTGCCGGTTCCTTAGAATGCAACTACTGTGTTAGGGGAGAGCTTTTCTCTTGAATTTAAAAGGCTTTTTCATTGTAGGAAAACTAACAAATTGCCTACAGTTATCTTTGGTGAGATGGGAAGCATACAAATTTGATAAATGAACAAACTGAACTTACCTCACTAAGGTGGGTCTTTAGCTCCTGGTTTTTTCTATAAACTGGGGTGTCCAGAACCACAGAGTATTTGTCTTGCATTTTCTTTGCAGCATCAGTGTAGACATAATGAGACTACCAAAAAAAAAGTAGATTTAAAACATTAGTTTTAAATATATTTATACTACAGGTTTATTTCTGAGCCATTTATTATGGAGATTAAAGTGGCATATATGTTTGATTAATTAATTAATTGATGTTATATTGATCTTATGTTAAAAATATTAAACTTTGCCTTTTAGTTATTCTTATCTTTTAATTAAAGAGCAAAAAATAAATACTTCTAGTATTCATGGTTGCCAGGAGGAAAATGACATACCCAGAGCTTGCGTAAATGCCGTGAACGGACCATATCCGGAGTATCGTACAGGAAGCAGCCCAGACCTTTGAGCCATTGTAGATCACTTTTATATTTAATCTATCAAATAAAGACATTGATTGACTATAGCTTTTCCATCTCAGAGTATATATTTCACATAAATCAATAATCTTAAATAGTTTGGGAAATCACAAAGATGCTATTGAAAAATTGGTCTAATGCAGTTATGGGGAAATTATAATTTTCCATATGTTGCTTGATTCTATTCTGAGCAATCCCAGCCAGCATAGCCAAGACTGATGAGTATTGTAGTCCAAAATCTTGAAATCCACATATTTTCATAGGAGTACCCCAAAGCAGCTGCACTTGATATAACCAAAAAACCCTGCTCCATATTCATTTGTTTATTTGTTTGTTTATTCATGAATGAACGAACAAACGAACGAACGAATGAATAAAAATTCTTTTGGTTGCCCTCTCACTCTCAGTGACTCTGGGTGGCTTACAAAACTAAAAAACCCAATGTATAAACAATAAAAACAATAACCCTCCCAGCCCCCCTGGTGACAACAATCAACCAAGCAAGCCATTTGATGGGCTCCATCCCACTCTGGATTCCCTAGTCCCATTGGCAAAATCAGGTCTTCAGGGCCTTGCATAAGAGTGTCAGAGTGGGGACTAATCTAATCTCCTCAGGGATGATGTTCCAAAGGGAGGGAGCCACCACTGATAAAGCCCTTCTTCTGGGTTCCACCAGATGTACCTCCTTAGAAGAGGGAACCTACAAAATTCCCTGCCTCCCCGCTCTGCTGGGTCAGGTAGACATTACTGGGAAAAGAGGGTCCTTTAGATAACCTGGTTCCAAGCATGTAGGGCTTTAAAAGTGACAATTAGTACCTCGAATTGCACCCAGAAGCAGATATATGTTCTGTTTACTGGCTGTAATTCATTTTAATAAATTCTTTTTAGGGAGAGAAACCATTATTACAAAAAATATTTTATATTACCATAGGCCCTAATATTTGTTGCAACCCATCTATAGGTATTCATAGCAACTTATTCTAAATTTTTAAAAGAAATTTTCTTACATCGCTTGTAATTTCTCCAACATAACGGTCGTGTACAGTTTGTGGAGTAAATGGTAGGGAAATCAAGTGTCCTTGCATCTTGAAGAAATCAGTCTTGTAGATAAGCTAAAATAAAGATAGAAGAAGAATAAGATTCTCCCCTCCCAGTGAAATCAAACTCAACACAAATTGTGCATCTAATATAAATAAAATATGCCTACATCACTGAAAGCGTCTTGGTTTATTTTCACTTGGCGATTGTGTGGCGTATCAGGTGTAGTATGAATCTTATCTTTATTTTTGTGATATACCTCCCGATACATTCTCTGTAACAAAAGGAAAGAGATTTTTAAAAAATTAAAATTAAATCTTAATCTATTTTGCACACTATTTCCTTAAAGAGCACTTATTCCGGTCATTTGAATAGATAGAACCAATCCACAAATGCTAAATAATAAACATATGAGTTAGCTATACCACTTAAATTAATACAGGTAGTCCTCAACTTACAACAGTTCATTTAGTGACCACTCAAAGTTACAATAGCACTGAGAAAAGTGACTAATGAACGTTTTTCACCCTTACAACTGTTGCAGCATCTCCATGGTCATGTGATGCTTGGCAACTGTTTCATACTTATGACAGTTGTTGTGTTCCAAAGTCATGTAATCACCTTTTGCAATCTTCTTACAAGCTAAGTCAATGGGGAAGCCAGACTCACACTACTAACGTAACAACTGCAGTGATTCACTTAAAACTGTGGCAAGAAAGGTTGTAAAATGGGGCAAAATTCACTTAACAAATGTTCCACACAGAAATTTTGGGCTCAGTTGTGGTCATAAATTGAAGACTATCTGTATTAAAAGTAATAGAATATTCATGAAGCTCCATGCTCAAAACAGTTGCTTTATAGCAAGCAACAGTTTGAGAGAAAGCAGTTTATCATTCCTACTTTGTATCTTCTTACCTGGGTCCTCTGGCCATTTCAGATGTAATTTATTATTTTCTTTATTTTTTAAAAAAAAAACACACCTTATTTTAATGCTCAGATCCCATTTCTGCTATGTATGTAGATTATCAAAATGTTTACTTGACTGTTATTTTCATCAGGTTATCTTTCTATGAGATAAAAAGTTTGTGACTGGACAACATGCTCTCCATACAACTCCCTGTGGTGCCCTTCCTCCCCACAAAATTTATAACACATTCCCAACCATTCAGACAAACCTAAAACATTTACTACTTCAGTCAATGAATGCAT